CTGCGGTAACTGTCATAGTTATATGGGTTTTATTCACAGGTTTATTAGGATTTGTGTAGTTTCATTTGACAGTCCGCTTTATACAGTATCATATTTTGTAAATGAAAATATGTAAAAAGCTGTTTCCAAAAATATTCGTATCTCGTAGGTTAATCACATGTACTGTACCTGTGTTTAGTTACTATCTTGTAGTAACTAATATTTTCATTAAGAAATTTTTTATGGCTTACATATCGCCCTTACCGAAATTGGGTATTTAATACCTAGTAAATTCATATCTTATAAAAATTCAGCTCTGTTCTCTACCAGGGAAGATAAGTTGTTCACTACTTTATTAGCATTATTTTCTCACATTACTCACCAAAGAAGGTGTCACTGAGGCAATGGAAATCCAAATTATCATTAAAATTATCACAGAAGACTGTGCGAACACATTGTGATGGAAGTCACCAAATAATGTCACGGCAGCACTCCTTACGCTTTACTATTGAAGATTTTACAATGTAACTAGAGAGCATTAATGAAGACGCAAAAGTGATAACCAGTCTACAGGTATTGTTTCTCGGAATCACGTTGTTATGAATATATAATTATTTGTTAATATCGCAGTTATTAAATAACAATCTTTCATGTGACATGGCAAATGCTGAGCTCAACCGTAATATCGTGAAGTATGGTATAGTGTGAGGTTGTGGTAAAGCTGATCATTGAAGATTTTAACGCCTAGATTATAAAGAAAAAATGAGTAGCAATTTGTATATACGATCACAGTATGTTCTATATTTTCAATTCCATCTCATACACAGGACAGGTTAATCTTCATCTCGGGCCAGTGATAAAATTAGCAAGTTATTAAAAAATATATTAATTCATCTTTTAATCGTTTTGTTGAGGAAGGAAACCGGTGGTTTGTTTACCTCGCCATTGTTCCTGATGAGTTTGTCCTTCACGGGTCCTGTGTTAGTACAGGAGGAAACCAAATCCACCGGAAAAACCAGTAACATATACTCTCTTTATGGCAATTATTCCTCTTCAGTATACCAGCGTCGTAACAAACAACCGACTAACCAGCCAAACAAGCTGATAAGCGGCGATGTGATAAATATATATAGTTAGTTATACCAATCTGTGGTGCGATGGTCATAGTACACAACGTTTGTCTCTTGTTTTTAAGATTGCAGACTTGCTCCCTCGACACTAGAATCTTCCAGCTGTGAATGGGTACCTAACTCTACAATTCGGTTAAGTGAGGGCGATCAAGTGCAGTGCCGGCCACACTGTTACCTTCTGTACACAAAAAAATAGTACATAGTGTACTGTATCCGCAAGCCAAAGGGACCCATATTTATAATACATTAGCATGACCTATGATGCGGTGTAGTACAGTAGTTTATTTATCCTTGTGCCAGCATCTGCTAACATGTTGCGGGTATTGGTGCATGATAATAATTGTCGGAGCAGTGGCCCGTCCCGCCACACTGCACCGGCCACCCACCCGCAACCCACCCGTGCGGAAACCTCCATACTTCTTTTGTTAAAATATATGTTATAAAGTTACTTAGTCTGACTGTTTATTAATGTTAAATAATGCATGACTCGGTAAAATATGGAAACTAAAATATTCCAAAGTATATATGTTACACTAGGTATCAATCTAAAACTCAGTTATGACTTGTTCAGTATACAGGTACACGCCTACAATACCCATTCAGCATGCTTAATGGGCACCTCTGAATTTATACAACAATGGCTCGATACGGATTCCCTGTATAGTACAGCCCAATCAAGAGTACAGTGAAAGGAAACATTAAAGTGAATGCTGGGAATGATAAGAGGCTTTGTAAATATTGTTGCTTTAAAATAATGACCTGAGATAGGGCAAGGAGGATGCTGATAAGATTTTTTAAGAGTACTAAATACATAAAATCAATGTGAAGTGAATGGTAAGTCACACAAAATAAAAGATACGCAATTAATAAGACTGGCACTGAAATAAGGGATTATGTTAATTTTCATAGCACGAGTAAACGAATTCTGAAAACTAAATGGGAATTACTTCTCATATATTGCGGGAGAGAGTAAAGAAAGTTACAAGATACAAGAATGGCAAGGAGGAGTCTGTTTGATGTATTAGTACAATATTATCACAGTACAGATTTGCAGTGCTGAAGACGTTATTATAAAAAAACAAAACAATGTATTTAAAGTACTGATAAGAAAACATAGCAAGGATTTTGTGAAAGTGACTACTGTACGGTGCATGAAGATGAAACTTAAAAACTGAAGAACCGAAGTGTACTGTTGAATGTTTCTTATAGAGCATTAGCATGCTAAATAAAATCGTCTGGCGATAGCCAGAATAAAATCCTGAAGCCTCGAGAGCACTGAACGGGGTAAAATGGAAGTCTATTTCGAGCATAATACGTTGACGTTATTTAGCTGTTAACATCATCGCTGCAGAGTATTAAAAAATACGGTAAACTGATTTTATCAACCCAAGACAATAATACGTCACACATGGCCGGCTCGGTTTATAGGCTGTGGCCGGTCGACATTGGCCCATCTGAATACTGTACACCACTGACTACTTGGTGCTACTATAGTATGCGGTCTACTGCATGGGTGCTAAACTATTGTAGGCGGTCTACCGAGCTGGGATTGTTACCGGGATATTTACACTAGCATCCATTAACCTAACCTAATCTAACCTAGCCTAACCTAGGTTAGGTAAGGTTAGGTTAAGATATGTTAGGTTAAGTTACGTTAGGTTAGGTTACGTTAAGATATATTAGATTAGGTTAGGTTAATAGACGCTACAGTGTAAATATCCCGGTAGACCAACTCCAGCTCAGTAGACTGCATACTATAGTCGCACCGACTACTTACTGTCTCAGTACATTGTACGCATTCTGGATCTGTAATTATGGCTTCTGCTACCAAGTAAGCTGACGGCCAAATACATGTCACCAGCTTTACCCACTGAAGACTCCGTCGGTTTATACTAATTTACGACAAAAAAGCTTTGCTTTCAACACAAAAGATGTTTCTCTCTTTAAACTTTAATTGCTGATAGCTGTGTATTTACTAACCTAGAATACGCGCTAAATGTTCTTTGTTGTTGAGGTGCGGTAATGGTTATAACCAATATTTCTTCTTATTTTTTTTAAATATTTTCGAAGACTGAGACCTAGCAAAGCTCAGCATCTAAGTCTTAACCTGAAAGCTCATGGAATTGGTAAGTGTTACCATGCAGAAGTATGTTGTTTATGTGAGGATGCAAGACATTCGGCGGTTAGTAGAAAAAAAAGCAAGTTAAAATGTTGCAAGCATTTAAGGTTCGAGAGATCTGCCAAAATCTGTCAGACAACTAAACACACCAGCAGGTCTGGCGGTTTACCACTTGTCAGCGCATTGAGTGAATGAACACTGAAGAAAAAAAACATGATTTGGGTTCATGCCACGAACAAAAGGTGATCGACACATGTGGTAATGACCAACCTGCGTTCATAAGAAGGAAAATCCACTCTAACGCCTATTTTAAACGTGGAACCCGCTTTCCATTTAATTCATTAATACAGGAAAATATCAAGGATATCTTGAAATACCAGTAAACGCAAGCTGGAGTGTTAAAATTATATTGTCTGACATTTTGTATCCAGCAAAATATAACAATAAATTTTGCCAGATAAGATGCATGCCACGGTTCAGGAATTCATGTTTGATATGCCAGTTCGTTCCGGGGATTTCACAGGTTCATTATAATACCACACCTATTAGAGCCAAGAGTTGCTTCTTGAAAAATAAAATATTTCCATAATGAGTTTAAAGTTGTTGTTTTTTTATCCTCATTTTTATGGCACTGTATTACGATGATCCTAAGTTGTGAACTGAATAACTGTATTACCTCAAAAAATAACAATAAAACGCTTTTAACAAAGTTTTTAGCACCTACCTTATAACGCTCATAACTGTCTTGAGTGCTGTTGTGCAGCAGACTGCATCGTTGTCTGGTAAAGATGCCGTATTGTGACTCACACCTCAGTGGCCGTACACCCCCCACCCCCGTTAGTGACAACTGATGCCATGGAGATTTAGTGAGAGCAACTTATTGTCTTGGGACAAGAAAGGGTCAGCCCGCACACTTCCTTGGGTTGAAGACGGGAAGACTGCACACCTGGGAACAAAAATACAGGAAGATTACTAGCATTATAAATTTCACCGTGTTGTTATGTTATATAGAGACTAAGTTTTACCCTATCATAATCAGGGTAGAACGGCTGAAGACGCAACATTCGACAACAGCTGGGGCACGCTGCAGGTGTTTGTAACAACGGAGGGTGGCAGCGTATCCTTTAACGCCATGTTAACTCACAACAGCTGAGCACTATGGAGTCATGCTTCAGTGACAAAGACGTACAACTCCTGAGTAAACTTATCAGGGTAGATATTTAGTAACTATATAGAGTATTTTGATTACTATTCAGTTCCAAATGCTACTCCAATCCGGAAGTAATTTTTTGCACTGTAATCGGTATCTTTCATTTGCTGTTGCATCCGGTATATATTTATTTTAGTGTTGGTGTGACGGTCATGGCTGATTGATTGCTAAATGGAATAAAACGCGTCCATGTGTACGGTAACTTCAGATATTTACTTTGCACAGTAAAGCATGAGGGTTTCATCACGTGTAACGATAATTGTATATTTCATTTTAATACTGACATACCTTTTCCTGAAAAAGTGTAGATAATCATTGTCAATGTAAAATAAATTTCCATGGCATAAAATAGTTTTTTGGTATCGCATCTTTACTTTTATAAGACAAAGACATATACTGTATATTTGTGGAGGAATGGAGGGCCATGGGCGCCAACCCTAAAAAAAAGTTCCCTGAAAAGAATAGTTGCTTCCCCCGATTTCTTATTTATTTCTATGACACACTTTTATATTTTATTATTATTATTATTATTATTATTATTAAATTTTTTTGTTCTGCACAGATCGCCGTTGGTCCAGCTGGAAGCACGTCCGTCGGTCTGCAGCGCAAACCCTGAAATCCCCACTATGGTTCCCCACTGTCTGTACCTGCTGCCCCTCCTTCAAGCTACGCTGCTCACCCCGGTCCCCGCTTCCGCTAAGTTCTATATCGGACGCTACAAAACAGTGCCAACGCCCTCTGAGGTCACACACAACGCCGACCACGCGAGGAGTATGCCGTAAGTACCACCCATGTACTGCCAACACCCACACGAACTGCCTGGCTGCGTTTGGTAAAGGGCTATTGGACTGGATAAGTTCTGCGTTCTGATTATATGGCTTTCTCAAACATTTCTGAAGAGTGTATTACTGAGCGTTCGTATATATCCACACCGCAAACTATATCAACAATCCCTTATGTCTATTGTTATCCCTAGTTAGGCGAGTAAGGTTACATAATTTTTAAATGAAGTAAATTTTCATCAGGACAAAAGACCACACTGATCCTGTTCTGCAGATGCATAATGAAAAATAGCATGTGTCCTATATTCAAACTGGGTGATCGCCACTGCACGAACAATTATAGGCAGGTGAGTTTGGCCAATATAGTGTGTAAAGTACTAGAGAACATAATACGAAACGTCTTGATGGAATATCTACTATGAACATTCTTGTAAAGGAATGTCAATACAGTTTTATACTTCGACGCTCTTGCCTGACGCAATGATAAGGTGCTGCATGTGTGGACACATTCTGGAGCGTGGTGCAATTTTGATAATATATACTTAGACTTTGCCAAGGTATTCGAAAGCGAACCTCATGAAAGGCTAAAAATTAAACTAGGAGGGTGGAGCATTCGGGGGAATGTTCTTGCATGGATCAGAGACTTTCTTCATGATAGCAAACAATGTGGTGATTAATGGACGATTTCGTCATATGTACACATTACAAGTGAGGCAGTGTACTGGGGTCATTGTTGTTTGTTTGCTTCATAAATGATGTGTCGGATGCTATACACTCCTCCATACAAATGTTTGCAGACGACGCTAAGTCATTCAGGGAAATTAAAAACCATATGGACTGTGAAGCGCTACAGAAAGACCTCTGTCGGCTTCAGCTTCAGGAGTGATCAAAGGAATCGTTGTTGAGATTCAACATACCAATTGTAAGGGGGCGTATTTCATGTCCCAACTGAACAGAGAAACATCATTAATTGAGACCAAATGTGAAAAGGACCTGGGTGTGCATCTGACGGAACCGATTGTGAGCTCATTCAAGAGCAGACTTGACCAACACTGGCTCAGGTTCCGATACATTCTGGAGCCAGTAGTACTTGTCAACAGTAACAGAGACGTGACAGACCGCCCAAGCGGATAACAGGCCAACCAGGGGCGAAGGGGATAAAGTAAAATAGTTGTGGTTTAACACAAAAATAAATCATACACATCTCAAATAAAACAACGAGCCTGCTTTCTTGAATTCTTTTTTGGCTGCCTCAGGTTTATGTTATGCCTCTTTCATTTTATATATACAGTACATGTAATACTTTTTTGCAAAGCTTATTCACTACGTAATAAAGAAAAGCCCTGAGGTAAACTAGTTGCATGTATTGTTTTTACTTTTTCAACTTATGTTATGTGAGTGTATTTAATATTACTGTTTATTGGTGCACAATTTGCACCTTAGTAACCAAAGCACCGTCATTCGGAATCCTCAAATATTTTATCTACAACTGGACTGTGCAATAAGGGCAGTCATAACATTTTTTACTTCATATTAACAGAAGACGTACCCCAGCCCCAGTTTTCATTTCATTTAGATTAGAGAAAGTTCTTTCAGAGAGAGTGTTAGAACAATAGGGATGCTTCCCGTTATTCTTAACCGCTTTCTCCGGAGTTATCAGATAACGAATCTCAAGATAAACTTTCGCTGTCAATAATAAAGAGACGTTTGTTTTCTTAAAAAATAAACCACCATATACGGTGAAATTTGCTGAGAACTGTAATTATGTGTCAGTAAAAATATAATCTTTAATTTCCGATCGCATATATAAGTACATGAATTTCCAGAAAAGAACATTCAAATTTTTAACTTTGAATGTCTTTTCTGGAAATAGGGTAGGATAGGATACGTCACGGAATGAGGTACAAATACTAGTACAGTAATCAAACTACTATGTGCTTGATTATTATGAAAAATAAAACATGGGAAAGTTAAATGCATGTAGAGTGAATAAATATTGTCTTATTAAAAGATTGTAAGTGATAAAAGTCGAGTCAGAATAGTTTCTGTGGAATAGTGCGGAATATAAGTGTGTGCGTGTGAGGCGTGTCAGCATGAAGGGTTATGCCGAGCTGCGTACGGTGATTATATGGTTGGAGTTTTTGTATGTCACAGTGCTTTATGACTATATTGTGTCAGAACTCTGATATTGATTTATTCACGGGTATGATATTACTCTCTTTCTTAACCCATGGAGATGCAGAGGTTTCAGCTGAATAAAATCGTCTGGCGTAGCCAGAATAAAATACCGGTCCGACACTACTCCTTAAAGGGTTAATCGAGATAAGTTTTAAGATACACAAGAAAAAGAAGCCATTTTATGCTGTGATAGTGTGCCCGTAAAGCCACTCTTAAGCGTTCAGTCGTAGAAACTGAGGGAGTAGCTGCTTGGTGATACCTGGATAAAAAGGTACGACTCGACGACGCCCCTTATACAACTTATTGTTACCAATCTTCGCTTGGGAAACTGTGCAGACTTTCACCTTCCTCAGTCACCTCAAAATCTCCTATAAGAATGAATTTGGTAAATTCGACTATTCATCACGTATTCTATTACGTCATTTATTGAAAAGAAACGCGAATGTGAGAGTATTTTATGGTGTTGAGGTGTTCTTCCGCGTCGCGACTTCCTGAAGGCGTTTTTCTTTTAACTTATCTATCAATAGATATTGTTTGGTGAAGTAATCACAGTTTCGTGCATCAGAGAGTTTACGTAATATGATTTTGTGAGGGTTAGTATATCACCAGAAAAAATAATTTGATAGTAAATGATTCGTCATTATTTATGACAGGATGATTTGTTACAAAGGATGTGGTCGTTTGGTCAGCGGTCTCTTCTAGTTAGCGAGTGGTTCTTGTTTCGTAATACTGTTTTAATGGTGAGTGCTATGTGTGCTACAAACTGAAGGTAAGTAAGAGTCTGGTGTGCATTTTGGCTCCTACTGTAATAATATATCTGGAATGAGAGGTTACGTCAATCAGTTCATAAAAGTGGTTACTGTATTTATATGGTGATAAATAAATTATCATCTAAGCTGAAATTAGGAACAGCATGAGTTCTGAGGTGTTGACTCACGTATCTGTACAGGAGTTCAAGGTGGAGGTGGATGGTCCGTTGAACATGTGTCACAGCACGAATGTTGTGGTCGCTTATCTTCCGATTCATTTCCTCCACCCGGGAAAGTCGCTCGTCACCCCCACCACTTGACTCACTTTACACACTATCACCCTAACTTTCTTTTGTTACGGAATGATTTGCATACTATGGCTATTTTCTTTGCGTACTAGACTACGTGTGCAGACGATGTCAGTTGAAAGAGTGAGCAAACTACAAAACGCAGATCATAAGTACTTTACCGTCGAGTCTAGATCAACTTAAAAGGCTCTTCGGCAATAACACATCTCAGAGGTCCGAAAAAAATAGCACGAAATCAATTTCTAGGCGGTGATAGATACACACACACACACAAAATCATTTTAGAGATTAGTGCTGGCAAATCTTTCTGAACAAATAAAGTACAATTTATAGTGAATAACATATTTTACTGTCGTGAATGTTTGTACCACGTGGAACTTTTAAGTGATGAACGGCACAGGGAATTGCTCAAGCAGAGAATCAATGACAAGTACGATCGTGGGCATGGCGAAAGAGAGGACACCAACCATTCACGCCCATTCCCATCGTCATTTCGGTGTTCCGGTGAACGATAGTTGATTTCACAGTAGATTTCCCAAATGGACTCTTTAAATCGGCCAGCGCATGACAAGTTTAGCGTAATTCCAGCTTTAGGTGTTAAAAAGGAGCTAGAGAACGCGACAGTTTCGGGTTTGCATCCGACTCAATGAGTAATATATTTGATAAGATTATATTGTGGATATGACGAGTAACAAAACGCACACTTTCAGCGCTTCTGAAGAAAGAAGTGTAATTTGCCTACGTTAAGGCACTGAAAGCATAAATTCCCTAAGAACGATGTCAACTGAATTTAACAAACTGTGTAGATGACCCAAAGATCAGAATAGAAATAAAAATAGGTGTTCATTATGAAGATAAAATAAAAAACAATCACAGTGAAAGTTTTATGACACGAGAGACTGGCATTAAACAAGATATACAGTACAGGTTCATAACTCTCACAGATTAAGAATAAACTACAAAACAGATAAGAGAATATCCCACCTACCAAAAAAGGCAAAAGAAGCTTAACCTTCTGCTCGCACTTTCACTCAAGTTTTGTTATATGTTCCAATGCGAAATATATTCTGAACTGCAGTGTTTAGAAATCTGTCATTACCGTTGCCCACAGGTACATTATAGTACTCTTATTTTTTCGCCCCCAGGCCCTGTTGTGGGTCGATGACCTGTGCCCGGGTCGGCTATTCCCCGTAAAAAAAAAAAAGTGGCACCGTCGGAATCAATTTATGAATGAATCGGTAACATGAGATCAGTTGTTGGCAACTGCTCTCGTGTTACCGACTCATTCATAACTCTTTAGCGAGCAGACATTCCCCTTCAGTTGAATAAAATCGTCTGGAGTTAGCCAGAATAAAATACCTACGGGATACTTTGCCCTCTAAAGAGATAAAGTGATTCCGACGATGCCACATGTTTGGAAAGGTCACCAAGGGATGGAACACTATACCTGTGGGCAACTGTACTTGTAGTTGGTGAATATGATATCCTTTTAACTGATTGACATCATATTTAGACCCCAATCCTGATATATTGTACAGGTACAGTCTCGTTCAAGATTCTTCGAACACTGCTGGAGACAGCTGACAACTCAGGGCCGTTTGTTTACTATAGTACATATAATATAATACGAAACAACAAAGCCCAACCAATAAATTTAGTAACGGGGAGTTAAATAACCAATCACCGATCATTTTACATTTATTCATAATCTTTACTACGTAGTATACTAAACAAACGGCCTTGCGTTGCCAGCTGTCTCCAGCAGTGTTCGAAGAATCTTGAACGAGACCGTACATTGGCGATTTTACTTGGCCATATCTTAATTCACTTTTGGTGTCCCTGTTTATTTGTTCATTGTCTTTGCTTGTCTATGTTCATGAAGTACGACTTTTCTGACACTATGGGTGAAACCATGGGCAATTTAATTTACGGCATTTGCTTCTGTCTACCCAGCAATAATTGGCACGTTAATCGATTGGCGGATCGTGTTCCGGGGCCATGATTAGCCATTGAGTGAACGAGTTGTCCGGTCTTCTTGGATTATTCGTCAACTCAGGGTCTAGTTGTGTTTGTGACAGCTTCTGCGCCTTAAATTAATTTTCGCCTAGGTGGTATTAGGGCCGGCTATCCTCGAACACAAAGGGCAACTATCATTATACCTGAACACAACGGCTTCATCTGGTCCAGTCTCTGTGAGCATGTCCTACTTAAGCAGTGTGTACAGTGACAGATCCTTCCTCCACCGTTCGACCTTATCATGCTCTTGTTTAATGTAACAAAGATAAACTAATTGTGTGATAAACAAACTTCTCTACAAATGTACCGCACCCGAGATTTGCCGATGTACGCTGGAATCTCTACTTTCAAAAAATCCAACATTATATGCCTCTGCTCCAAGCGCCACCTTTATATAATTATCCTTAATCTCCACTATATTTAACTTATGGCCACCCACGAGAGGTGGCCACGACTAAGGAAGGAGGCCAGTGGCCTGTGTAGGATCCTTCCATTGTTTTCGATAATTTTGTCAAGGGCTATTTTAAAGCCCATCATCTCCTTGTTGTCTGTTTATACATATCAAGCGTAAGCCTTCCCATTTTTTTTTTCGTTGGATAATTGAATTCGATTTTTTTCTCACTTGACCTGTATATCATTAGGGTTGAATTAATCCCATTACTTTGTGTATGTACTGTACCGTACCAGTCCTATGATTTTGGGGGGGTACTTGCTCATACTTCCTATATTTTCGTCTTCTTCCCAGCCTCACATTTTGAGTTGCCTCTCAGCAAGTTTCCTACGTATCCACAGCGTCCTGGATTCCCAATTTCCCACCATAAATAAGGCGCCAGTCAGCTATGGCGAGGGTGACGGTATCTCCCGTTCCTCCCTTTCTTGCTTTCACTTTCTACTGGATCTTGTAGCAGTTTTACCGTACAGTACCTGGGAAAACTGGAGGTCGCGTTATCCCAATTAGTACTTGTCATGTCCGAGAATGAATGTGTTATACAGTTAGGCTGTGTAGTAGATCCAATCCCATAATTTCAAGTTGGACATTTAACTATATACTGCCAGCTGTATCTGTATTAAATTTACTGAATACAATGAATGAATCACTTTATCATTCATATTTTGGATTTCGAGGACTTCGACATAATTTTCCACCTTTTGTTAAAGAATATCATACAAAGATTCACTTACAGAAGTCAAGGAATCTGGACTAACGTTTTAAACTGACTGACTTTTAACACTTCTAAACCTCCATTGCTTCACGATTTTGGTCGTAGAAACCGAGATCGTATAAAGGGCGGTTCAACCAACGATATTATTATGGCTGTGTTCGTTTTGATTGACTGTATACTCTACGTTTCTCGCCAACCTTGGTTAAAAACTATTAATGCTTCCAATATCTGAGTTATATAACTTGTTTTGTTTGCGGTATGAGAATTTACTTATTGGTCTTCAAACAAACTACCTTATGAGTGTAATAATAAGTTTGTAAGACGTGTGGTTGGTAGTCTAATGGTATGTCATGTCTAGAGCGTCTCTCTCTCATATTTCCTCAAGATGACCATTACAAGTGACTGGCTACACTGTCCTCACTCCACCACAATCAACACTACCTTGAGCGTTTGTAGCGACCACGGTGCCATCTTAACACGTACTGCCCAAGGATACCTAACCTGCTCCGGCACTCGTCAAACAATTGTCCCAATCTTTACAAACTTCATGTACAGTAGCTAAAACAACTAGCTGTGCAGGTTGGGGTCGATATGCTCCGAAATTTTACGTGTGACTAGTGACAGCCCTCATATACCGATATTTATCATCCATGGTCTCATTTTGTTTCCCTCAAAGTATGCACAGATAGTTGTTTTAGCTACTTACAATTGTTCTCTTCACTAGTGCGTTTACAGAGCTGTCATATAAGCATTCTACAAATCATTATCTTTGAGATATTTGTTTTAATGTTTTAATTTGATTCCACAGTGTGTTTACTATTGCGAATTTCCTTCTGTTGTATGTAAACAAACACAGGGCTGCCACACTGCACAAAATCTGACGAGCCCCTGTAAACGCACTAGTAAAGAAGACTGTATATGACTTCGAACGTGCTTCAATAAAGCATATTAATGTACAAAAAAATCAAGGTTTTACTGAAGACGAAAGCGGTTTTGAGAAAAACGAAAAATCGTCTTCTAAAGTGTGTTGCTCCCCCACCTGGTGCAATGTCATGTGTCACCAATATACGCTAAACACTGCCTGCTGATTGAGGACGTCCAAAGGAGGGCCATCAAACTGGTTCCAGCATTTAAAGAAAGGAAATCACGGTAATTATAATTCTCCTTGCTTGAGATACTGATATTGTGTCTAAAGTAATATAATTCTCCTGTATAATATTTGTCCTCTTCCTGAAAAATACAAAGATTAAAGTAAATGAAGCACATTAACATGTTTTACTCAAATTGCACGAGTATTTTAAAAATCCGATCCACCAAAACTGTGCAATTAATTAATTTATATATCGAGCACGACAAAGGACTACGCAAGTGGTCAGGATCGTATAATACAAATACTGTACCTTATTAGTGACTAGCTAAATCTCGGGGAATATTTTCATTCTCGCCCGCTCTGTGCACATACATTATTATTAGTATTATATAAATCACGTACCGGTTTGTTGTAAGTGTGGGGAGTGGCTAAATATCCCCCGCACCATAGTTTAAGGGGCCATAACTCTAGTGTGCACATGATGAAAAGTACAAATTATTGAACCCATTTGATAGCTTATTATGATTTATCAGCCTATTAAATGTGGCTAAAAATCTGTGATTGTGTTTAAAGGTTGGACACACGCACGGACGCCAACCATTTTTTCTCCAGCTCCATTAAGCAACAGGAGACAATAAAACAGAGCAAAGCAGACGTATAATTCAAGGATTTCGTACAGAGAGAAGAATAAGCATGGTTCTTCTTCCTGGGAGGGAGTCTGTGTAGAGGCCGTCAACGTTTGAAGTTATCCCCCGGCGCGGGCAGCCGTGCGAGTGACCCACTGGCCCTGAGGCGTTCATCCTCCGTGACGCACATCCCCGCCACCCCACTCTCACCTCCTCTACAGCTTATCACCCCTTCCCCCCACCCGCATTGTCAACATCTGCACCCTTAGCTCATCAAAATTCCATCTTTTAGCACAACCTTATGTGACCCAGTGTCGTCTGCGTTCTCACCCTCCATTTAACTTGGACTCATCTAAGCCACTCACCCTTACCGTTTGTCCATATAACAATATTCCAGGGACTATCTCACTCCAGAATAGACCACACACCTCAACCTAGCACCTTAATCTACATGACGTGCCCGGGTGGGCTAATCCCCGTAAAAAAAATATATGTACTGTACGTACTTACGCCTCGTGTGTACAGTACACGTACGCGCACACGCAATTATGTGGTCCCTGATAGTTCCAACAAGACGGCTGCTCACGTCCACTATTCACTAACCTTAACTCTTCACCCCCGCCTGCGCTAATGACAAAAGGACTGTGTGGTCACGACGTAGCTCGTAATTAAATACAATATCGTAATTATCATGTGCCCTACATAAGGGTTTTCCAAGAGATCTTGTGGTGGGGGGTGAAAAGTGCGAAAATTTCGCTCTATTAGCAACGGAAACTTACTCGTTGACAAGAATATACTTTTGTGATGCAGCTAAACCCCTTAGTAACTATGTATTGCATCCACTCTTGTTGTTGGTAATGATTTATTTTATGTGGTTGTTTCAGATATATTGTATACCCGGGAGAGGTAGGAAGCGGAGGCTTAACACCCAACAGAATTAACAAGTTCCGGCGGACACAGGGCCCACCCGTACCCTCGCAACACTACACCCACCGTATTGGTTCCCCATTCAACATAGGACCTCCCACGAAATTCGGAACCTTCTCCAACAACTATGGCAATGACATGTACAACGGGTACACTCCTGTACACAAAAACAATGTGAGCAGTAGTGATATATGATATATAATACCACATATTTTTTTACACTTGTACTACAAATTTAGATTACATTCAATATAAATATTTTCTTACGAAATTGAAGATGTTTAACATTCTAGAATATGACAATAAAGATCAATGAGCCGAGAGAGAGAGCATTCATTTCTTGGTAAATCTGAATCCAGACACTACACAGCCTTTTATATCTCGCATTTGGCAGTGGTGTCTGGTAGAGTAAAATTGCAGCTATAAGTTGATTTTGTAACCAAATTCGTCTATTAAATTAATTTTTCGTATCCAAGTGCTACAAGCCATAGTCGTTCACAACTTCAGCGTAATTGTAACCAGTCGTTTCTTTCAGGTTAAGTATGTGATACCACCTTTTACGCCTGGCGGCCGCGTCAACGTGGCGTTTCAATTCTGGATCCCAATCAGCCTTGGTGGATTCTTTGTTAGTGGCCGAGACTTAGAAGCCGCCCTCAAATCACCCAATCCCACTGCTTATATCACCTCCCTTTTCCTGAAACATGTGTCAACGAATTCAACCGTTGGCGATTTATTCGGAGACATGGGGATCCCTATTGTGGAGCAAAGTGTACAAAAATTTTTGGATTGGGTAATGCCTTACCTCGACCACTTCACGGGTAGCGATATCAGCACTATGAAGACTTTGAATTTCCCACATGTCAAGAAGAATAAACTGCAGTCAAGACGCAAGAGAGATGCGGATGATCCACAGGACGGCTGGGTTACAATTGGTGGAGAGAACAAGGAAAAGGACACAGTCAAATCCACTTCGCCATTGTTGAGTCAGGGATCGTTCAGGCCTGGCCAGGTGCAGAATGATCGGGTGTTATGGGGCGGCGGACACTTGCTCACAGACAACCACTTACCTCACTACGATGATAAAGCTAGGCCAAGTATGTAGTAATTATATTGCCTGATAATAATGAGAATATTATGTTGATAACAGTTATGGTCATGTATTGTATTGTGTAAATCAAGATTATTAACATTCGGCAGTACTGTAGTGCAATACAGTAATACCAAGTAATGGCAGTTATAGATTTTAACTTTTTATCACTCCACTACTTATCAGCTTAGCCGTTTGGGCGGTTAGTCAATTCTTTTTTATTTCACTTATGACCTCCATTGGCCAGTACAGTATTAGTAAACTAGGAAACAGGAGTACTAACTACACTGTACTCAGAAAACCTGCGATGTTTGGTAGTCACATGGGATAACACTTCTCATATCCAGCCGAGACCGGGAATTGAACTCAGGACACAACAATGAGAAGCAAACTCATTACTACTGTTAACGCCAGTTAACTACTTTACCTGTACTGTATTACAGAGGCAGCTGGTCGCGACCAGAGAATAAAAAAAATACAGTCGCGGTCATATTGTTGCTACTGCATTAACGTGACTAAAATTATGTAATTCTTAATGTAATTAAGGTGATAATATTGTAGCAGCAGCTGTAATATGCTTACAGAAATAGCCGGTCCGACTAATTACCCAAATGTAGCCAAATATAGCCGCAATGAAGTCAAATAATGGTCCTACATGAATAAATCGGACTGCTAATCACTTCTCGACTAGTATTTGGTGTCATAAAGTCACAAAAAATTGGAAAACTTACTTTAATCTGAGTTAATAGATCACGTGCATGTACCGAGGGAGCGAGGAATTACCCAAATGTAGCCGCAATGAAGTCAAATGATGGTCGTACAAGCGTAATTCGGGCTGTGAATCACTTCTCGATTATTATTTGGTGTCATAAAGTCACAAAAAATTGGTAAACTTAATTTAATCTGAGTTGTGTTGTGTTAGGTTAGGTTAGGTTAGGTACATGCACTTGATCTATTAACTCAGATTAAATTAAGTTTACCAATTTTTTGTGACTAACACCAAATACTAGTCAGTAAGTGATTGGCAGTCCGATTTATTCATCTAGGACCATTATTTGACTTCATTCCGGCCATATTTGGCTACATGTGGGTAATTAGTCGGACCCGAAATAGCTGGTTTTCTGTTCAAATATGTGAAAGTACAGTACAGTAGTTACTCCATGAGTAATTCAGTACAATATTAAAACGCAAATAGCATTTATAGTGTGTACAGCACTATAAATATTTAGGTGGAGTCATGCTGAAAAATATTAAAATCCTGCATTTTACACTAGTCTTAGAAAGCTCAAAGGTACAGTATGTAACCAGGATAGGGTAACCAACAAATTGACCAGGTAAACATTGCAGTATTCACACTGAGAGGAGATTGCTATAAAATAAGTATTCCTCTACACATAATTAATTCATTCATGATAGTAAAGATTACGAACTAGGGGTAAGTACTCAATAGAACTTATTTCACTGGTAATTGATCTGAAGACAGCAAGACAATAAGGAGGTTGTAAATATTAAAAGGTAAACATTTATCATTAAAAGTAAACAAAATGCGATGTAGCTTATGTTAAGTATGAACGCTTAATGCTAACCTCATAATTAAGTTGGGTATTTATATTCCAAATTGTGTTACTGGCTACAAATCTGTTACTGTACACAAGTTAGCACATGTACTGTATTATAATAGTATATTCAATACATTTTTTCAATGTATCTATATGATCTATTGCAAGAAATGTTTTACAAGATTTGCACGTAATCCTTCATAATTATTTATTGCATGAAAGTCCATTACAGTTGTTCAACTTTGTGGTCTGTCCTCCAGGTCTTGACTTAGATTATCCGATCGACTCCCACTATTTACGTCCACGTCCAATTCCTTCATCCCAGCCATCCTCTTCTTCTCGCCCTTCCTCCTCTTCTCGCCCTTCTTCTTCTCGTCCTTCCTCATCTCATCTTTCTTCAGACTCTTCATTTTCTGACTCCTATCCTCCCTCACTGGACTTCAGACCTCCTTTTCATCTCACATCATTTGATGACATCCCTTCGAGCGTGGCAGGAGGTGAGAGAGGTCTTGAGGTGAGCAACCGTCTCTCTCGCCTCGACTATTTCTTCACTAACCTCCACCTGGACCATGAAGAATGTCGTCGGCGAGTCTTATGTGAAGTGTCTCGGGAGCCCGACACATTTGCCCCACTTTCTGATATGATAAATGGAGAGACTAGGCAAGTCCTTTGGGAAACTTTTTTATTTTAATACACCCAAGTACTTCAAGGCTGTTATTGGCTTAGTCACATAGAACTTCAACTCTATCTCTGGTATACTGTACCTGTGCATGTTTCCAGACATTTTACTTCCTGCCTTCACTTCTGCTTATAATGCATTACAATAAGATGCAAAGAATGACAACTTATTCTATAAAGTACAGTATAAGTCTGATGAAACCTGTCCAGTTTTCAACAACTGTAAAATTATATTTTATTGATAACAATAGTAAAGAAAAGTTACATAAAGTTTATACCTGTATTTGTATTGTACAGGTATTGATTTATTAGTTATAATTACTCAAGATCATTCATCTTTTAGTCTTGGAAATTCCACATGTTCTCACCTCAACAAACACCATCAATGACCTACATCTATCTTGCTCTGCTGTCCATATATATATATATATATATATATATATATATATATATATATATATATATATATATATATATATATATATATATATATATATATATATATATATATATATATATATATATATATATATATGTGTGTGTGTGGGTGTGTGTGTGTGTGTGTGTGAAAAATCAACACGTTTAAACATTGGCAGGCTCCCAGGGGACCCCCATGAGCTGAGCCGTGAGCTTTTAAACACTGCAGAGGGCGCACGGCTCCTCTCTTACATTGATGCTGTGAAAACTGGAGAAGACCGGTAAGTGTTGATTCCATTAATATGAGAATGACAAGCAAAGCTGCTGTTGAAGGGGTATGAAAAGCAATAAATACAGTACAGTAGTACTGAATTCAAGGAGAATTAGATTTGGATGAAATAGTTGCCAGTGGAGTAGACATATTATGAAAACAAGATACAGTACAGTACTCCCATATTAATACAATTTGTGTGTATAATTATGATTGAAGAATTAAATTTTGCTTCAGTCAAGAGGAGACGAGTTATCAATAAACCTACGATACCTGGAGCACCCTGATGAAAGAAACCAAAAATATTTTTTATTTGTTTTGTACAGTATAGTGGGTCAGGTTTATCAAACATTTCTCATGCCCTTGGCAAAGACTCTGCATTTAAATATGACAAGAAAGCCTGTAGTACATTTAGACAAATAATAATTTGTATTTATTTATTTATTTATTTATATATACATATTTTTTGTTTACATTTTTATTCTGCTTGTATTACCACAGGACACGAGAGTGTGATGTGTACAGGTACCGGTGCAGGACGAGGGCTAGTGAGGTGATTAATACCGAGATATTGCCAATTTGGAGAGAAGTTGTTCGCTGGCTCACAGTCAAGGTTCTCACCCAAGACACTTCTCTCATCTGATTCTACAGCAACATTTCAATAACTATAGTCCTAAACTCAACAGTAGTAACACCTCTCGAGTATCTTCGTATAGTTGTCAAGTGTTAAGAAAACAAACTGGTAATAGTGAAAGATTTGTTCCTTCCAAATTTTTTGGCCTTTTCAGGAAGTAAGAAAGGATTTATCTTAAAAAAAAAAAAAAAAGTTGCTGGTCCAGGTGTGATACTGTCTTCCACTATTATCCAAAAATCTCCCAAATATGTTTACTAAAGAATATTATATCTCAATTGAAGAAATTTTCCATGTGTTACCCCTTGCTTAAATTGAGAATGGGGATATGTGAAAATATGGAGTCGACTCAGCAAGTGTACCCAGAGTACATAAAGGCAGAAAAACTCAGACAAAGATAAAAATTTTGGAAAATATAAAATTGAAAGAAATAATGACATTCCTTAAAGAGCATGGTGGGTCTGATAATGTGGGTACAGTACCAGATCACTAAGTGGGCTGTGCTATGAATGTGGCCAAACTACTGTTATTATGTACAGTATGATATTTTCTCTTTCATTTGTTGTTATATTTAATGCCTGATCATGTTTAGTTACAATTTTAATACCATTATATAGTAAATCATATATAGTGTATACAATATTCATGACTGGAAAAATCACAAAATTATTATACTGTACAGTACTACTGTATTTTAGTATTCAAAAATTCTATATTTATAGTTATTTGCTATTCTCGTTTTTCTGGAATGACATTATACCTGTACATTACTATAACCCTATGACAATATATTCCAGGTCCCAATACAGTACCTTATGTGTAATATCTTGTTATTGTTATTTTGTTTTAGAAAGATCACCAATATTATTGATGCATTTGTTACTGTTTGTTTTTTTGCTGTATTGTATATAGAGATGTTCACTTTTTACATGTAACAACATTTATAGGATGTCCAAAATTAACTGCAGGAGGACCATGAGCTAAGCCCATCCTGGAATTGCCATAAAAGTGGATTTTGGAAGTATCCAAACAATAGGCAACATTTACCGATATACTGTACGCTATTTTGAAAGTAATGCTGGTACTCTGTTGGTCCTAACACTGTACCTGTATTGCTTTTAATATATATATATATATATATATATATATATATATATATATATATATATATATATATATATATATATATATCCACTCCCCCAGGTAATGGTTATAGATGAAGCTCCTGTTGTGGTTTTTATGCATAGATAAACCAGCACTAGTCACATAAATTTAGAACTAATACTATATTCAAAGGTAATTTTAAAAATGATCATTGATCTTAAGCATTTATTAATAATGTTTATTACTAAATTAAAATGCTGTTGATATTTGATCTGTATGCATCTTTGAATAAATAAATAAAGCATTATACTGGATTTTTAACTAATCCATGCTACATATTTTTACACTCTTACCCAAGTGTGTATATATATATATATATATATATATATATATATATATATATATATATTGATAAAATCACACGGGAAAAGGGAGACAACGTGTGATTTTATCAAGATTTATCATATATATATATATATATATATACAGTAGTATCCCGCTTAACGCGGTCAATAGAACCCACAGGGTACCGTGTTAAGTGAAAACCGCGCTAAGTGAACAACAGAACATATGGGATTAATTCCAATAGAAACTGGCCCGACCCCCAAACTCCACTTTTTGACGACACAACTATGTTGTAGTAAAAATTTTATCTTAACTTTATGATGGTATGAACAAACAAGTAATATAGAAGAGGTTAGGTTAGGAAAAATAAAGGTTAAGTTAGGAAAAATAAAGGTTAGGTGTAACACTTACGTTAGTAGAAGACACACACTGCGCAACCTTACAGCGCGGCTTGCCCAGGCGGAGGGAGGCGGGAGGGAGGGAGGGAGGAGGAGGGAGAGGCGAGAGCAGGCAGGCAGGCGGGTGGCGGGCGGGGCGAATCTAAAAATAGCGTCTTGAGCCGGACACTCTGCGCGTATACGTGGAAAAAACCCGCGTTAAGTGAAAGTTCGGCTCTGGCGAGGCACCGCGTATAAGCGAAATCGCGCTAAGCGGGGTATTACTGTATATATATATATATATATATATATATATATATATATATATATATATATGCTGATAACCACAAGGAAAGAAGAAAACACGAAGTTCCCAAGCGCTTTCGTGTAATTCACATCTTCAGGGGTGAGTACAGTATATATATAATATATATATATAACATATATATATATATATATAATATATATATATTATATATATATATATATATATATACTGTATATATGCTGATAACCACAAGGAAAGAAGAAAACACGAAGTTCCCAAGCGTTTTCGTGTGAATTACACGAAAGCGCTTGGGAACTTCGTGTTTTCTTCTTTCCTTGTGGTTATCAGCATATACCTAGATCACGCGCACCTACAGTGATTTACTTGCATATATATACTGTATATACTGTATATGAGCTGTTTATTGTATTTTGCTATTTAAAATAGCTGTTGGCAGTACTGTACAGTACAGTATACAGAAAGACTTCTAGTTGCATTAGCAGCTATATGCCCACCATTCCTGACTTACTAACACATTGATTGAGTGAGCGATTTTCCAGGTAACATGGTGCAGCCCTGCCTTGATCCTCACCAGCTCCCTTTGAGCCACCCAAACTTTGATCGTTAACAGCTGTCCTTCACCCTGCTCACAGCTGTCCTTGACTCTCCGACACCTTAGGCATGCTCAAACTGTGAACTTACTGTGGTCATCCATTTCTACATGAATCATCAAAGATGAAATATTATGGGAAAAGCAGTGATTACTTCAGAGTAGCTTTATGTCTCTTGCAACTGACAGGTTACAGTTAATGACTGTATGGTAGCGAGCCATCATGCTGCATTAGTATTGTTAAAATAAATCCCATTACAGTACTTGCAGACTTAGAAAAGTCTCAAAATGTACAGATCCTTTAGATTTAGTGTCCAGTTAAATTAAGCAAAGTTGAAGATCCATAGAACACAATGGATGTCTGACCAGGAGCCTGGCTGGCATTATGAACTATAGAACAGTGTACTGTATACAAAAATCTATCTACGGTTTGTACAGCAACTAATTCAGTGGTGCTCAACCTTTTTGCATAAGTGGGCCACATTAGATGGGTAAATGTGTGATGAAGGCCACAGACTGACCTTAATGGGAATAAATGTTGAAAAACTAAGTAAATAGTCCACACATGAATAAGTGATTATAAGGCATTAACCATGTCAAATTGTGAATAATTACACAAAGGCTTTATTATTCAATAGAAAACTTCAAATTAATTCCTAACAAATAAAACAAAGCCTTCAATTATTGAATTTTTCATATAATTCTCTAATAGTTTCGAGGGCCACACTTAACCTCCCTGAGAGCCACATACGGCCCTCAGACCATGGGTTGAACATCCCTGACCTAAGTGAAATGAAGAAAAAAAAAACCCACCAGAAGCTTCCAATCAAATTGTGGTTACCGGTAGGTTTTGGATCTATACATTCTAGCTGTCAAAGATGAAGAATTTGGTACAGCAAAGTAGGTGTCACAAAAGTGTCATGACAGTATTGCTCAGTGTCATGTATGCTCATACCAGTCATGAACAAAACTAGTGACTGGTATTTTTTCACAAAAAGGCATGTCCTTAAGATGGTAAATGTAATAAACCGGACATCAAACATCGATGGTTGCAATGGGGATTATGTGTAATGTCATGTGAAATCTATCTATAATAAAGTTTCAAATTAAAGAAGGGACACCACAAATTATGTTAGATGCATTGTATACACCAACCAGCTTCAAAATGGGGGAATTACATTTTCACATATTCCACAAATGTCTCCCTGTTAAAGAAACCCAACATCAAATTCCAAATTAATTAAAAAGGTACTAAGTAGACTACAAACATATATCCTAACGACTCTCACTGAACAGCAAGAAACTGTAAGGTAACCTTAAGACTTATACGGAAGCCACTACCTGTACTAGTATAATTTTATCAAGATCTACCTGTAATTTGGATGAAACGTAATTCAACTAGCTCAGAGATCTGTGTCCCCTTATGTAATGGTGTACAGTCTTCAGGTTACATGTAATATCAAAAATCTAGGTAGGCTTTGCAAGACTAGTTTACAAAATTAATCCATCTGCTTCACTATCTAACATCACTGTCCTTTTCATTACTGTGAATATGTGACAGAGCACGACAAGTAACTTCAAAAGTTATGAATATGCTTCCAGAGGCACAGCCACTCTTCAACATGGCAGGCCATAATCCCTTATACCAGGCTAAGATACCCTCTTCTTGCGAAATTCTGACAATGCACGCCCATGCACTTGGATACACAACAACCTGGAAACAAACATACATTAAACACCAAACTAAACCAAAGCTATTATTAATAATAACAATTATAATGCCACAGATGAGACATATATATATATATACAATACAGGAAAAATAAATTACTGTCTCTAGAACGAATGGCTCCCTGTCCCGGCCGCAAAAATGCCAGCAACTTTAAAACTACCCTTACACATTCTTGGGTACATCCAGGGTGTCATTCGCAAATAATCGAGGTCTGTTGGTTAAAAATCCACGAATTGTCAGGGCATGTTGTACCCAACAGTATGTGCATAACGTACTTATGGAACAATGTTTAAAATTCCAATTTATCATAGCGTAAGTCCTTTTATACATCTAAAATCACTTAATTTAAGAGAAAAGAAGAAATAGAATGACACAATATAGTAAATGAAAGTAAAAAATAAGTCAAGTAAATAAAATACTAATGTAAATTTTAAGCTTAACCTTTATGGGACTACGGTACGTTCAAATCGGAAAATGTTCGTAAGTTGGACGTATGTACAGTAACCCGGGGACCTCCTGCATATATATTTTTTTTTTCTTACTGTTACATATACGTAAAAGAAATTAGGTGAAAATCATAGAGAGAATAGAATTTTTTTTACATCCACTGGAGTTAGTGTTGGTTCATGGGAAGGGAAGAAGGAAGCTGGAGGGGGTGTGGTGTTGGGGATCTCAGCCTCTCCCTATCAGGCCAAGCTGTGAGCTGCATTATTGTTCTTTTTCAGCTCGTTGTTTCTGGTAGATATAAGTAATTTCCTTCTTCTTTTTGTTTACTGTTCCATGCACACACAATTGTTCATACACAATGTGCAAAAAAAAAGAAGAAATGATTATTATACGGTCAAAAACAAAGAGAATGAACTTTTTTTTTACGTCAGCGGGGATTAACCCACAATCGTGGGGGAGAGCAGTGCACTCCTGTCTCCCCTGTCCTTAATGAAATGACTGCTAAATGGCCATGCAGTATTTTTTCTTTTCTTTTATTTACTGTCTCAAGAAAGAATGGCTCCCTTTTATTAATACCACACATTTACAGATGAATACATTGGAACACAAAGGGAAAATGATGCCACGCTAAACCGTTGATATTCGAAATTCAATGCTGCAGTTGATGAAATAGTATAGGGTAAAAACCGTAGCTACCCAAAATCCGCAGATGGGAAATCTGCAGTCGGCGAGGGACTACTATACATAAAATTTTGCCCTTCCCTTCAATTTGAAATATATTTCAGTACCCTGTGGTTTTGGGGCAAAAGTCTAAACAAAAACTTAAAAATATACTATATTGAGAATCAACAAACCTTGCCAAATTGCCTGCGAGCTTCCTCAAAGCCACGTATTTGTATTCTTTTCTTCAAGACATCCAGAGGGTACACAGCTAATTTAGCACATACTCCTGCTGCTGTCCCACTTATAGCACTGAAGCCCAGCCATGGTAGTTCACTCTCTGTGACATATTTTATTCTTTGTTAAATTATCAGGACTTATAGTACTATATCAATAAATTAACAAATAAAAAATCATGCAAGCCTAAGTAATACAGTGATTTAACATCCTGCATAACACATAATTGGGTGGCTTATATATCATCACTATGTCTACAGTGTTGGAAATCTAATTTCCAAAGACCCGAATCTTGTGACTGGAATCCAAAAAGTGGGTAAAATTTTAAAAATAAATAGATAAAAATGCCCACCATCCTGGATTCCTCAAAAGGAGACACTGGTACAGCAGTTTTGATGCCTATAGATTCCAAAATGCAGCAAGATAGTGCAAGCAAACAAGTGAAATGAATTGATGAAAAGTTAAAAATGGGGAAATTCCAAAATATTCTCTGTGGCTGGATTATCAGGAAAAACAGTGGCTGGTGCCAGCCAACAGTGAGTAAGGGTACTGTTAGTTTTGCAGAAAATAGGGTAAAGCTTTACTATAATCCAACTGCACTCATTAAACAATCTAATCCAGTTGGTAGTTTTCAGATCCCCTGAAGTGGTTCCTCTACATCCCATTAACTTACAGAATGGGATACAGAATAATTTCTGGAAAATAAAATATACTGTGTAGATTCTACAAACCCTTGAGTTGGGATACCCTGTATTCCCCCTAACATTTACTCGCAAATAGTCAACCTGAATCCCACTCTGAGCTCCATGTAAACATTCACTAAAAAACCTTAGTTAGACACCTGTAGAGTATTTGGATACAACTGTTTTTCAATTGGCAGAGCTACATAATGTAAGTGAAGACACACTGCATATCACAATTTTTACTGAAACAAAATACCTACCCGGTACTTACACCGAGGAATGTGTGGCCACCGGCCAAACATGATAAAAATATATTGGTGTAATTTAAGGTCAGCACTTAGCTTCTACTGCATGTGTAGAATGGGAACTTCCATTCTGGAGGCTTGTGTGATTGAAATTGTGGCAGCACATCCTGTTTTGTCATTATATAGCTAAGCCAAACAAAAGGGGATCATGGACCATGTGCACTTACGTGGCAGAGAAGACTCTCAACTTTCTCCCTCAAGAGAGGGGGAACTGAGATGTAACATGTTCCCTTTCAAAGAATCCAATGTAGTAGAAAGGTTTATTTAATTTTCAATTTCTATTCAGTTTTTAGACACTATTTTACATTTTTCAACTACTTAAGCTTACTGAATATACATGAATCACCTGAGAACAGCATTAAGTTAAAAATATCAATATCTGTATCATGATTAATTTCCACCAGTTAATGGCAGCTTTTTAATATAGTGTACTTATTGTTATTTCTTCCAGTAAGTAACAAGTAGGGGTGCTCCACAAATGTGAGAACCAAACTACTATGCCTTATTCTGACAAATACTTCAAAATTAAATATATTCAGAGATGATTCTTTGTGCTCTTAATGGTAAGCAAAATTTTTAAGGTACAATTGAGGTCAAAAGTATTCATCCAATTCATCACCAACAACTGTGCCCCTGGTTGGGTCCTTTTCACATGGGGTGGAAAGGGAGAATGGTTGTCTTGGGGAGGGCCGTTTGTTGGGTGGGGGTATGCGATACAAATTGCTCATCAGAGAGGGGAGATTGAAGAAAGCGGGGAAATTCATGAAAGAAAAAAGGGAAGGATGTAAGTTTTTTCACTATATTATCGTAGGTTAAATGCTTGAAAGAGTAATAGATGGGGACCCTTATTCATTATTATAATGTGCCATCCATATCCATAACATAATTAGCAATTTTTCAGGTTGTGGTTCAGGTTTTAATCAACGGTAATTAGACATTTACAATAACATTCACAAGAGTAGAAATATTGAATAAGAAGATGGAAATCACATTATTTTCTAATATTTACCAACACAGATCATACAAAATCTCAATAGCCCATCCATAGGTCACCCTTTTCTATAGCCTCCTGGAGTCTTCTTGGGACAAGTCACTTTCTATCCAACAATTCATTATTAATTTTGTTTATCAATTAATATTGATTTTTTTTCCAAGATAGTGGCAGGAGGTGGAAGTGATCAAGTAACAGCCTAGTTTAGTGTTACTGGTGGTGAGCAAGGCCGCATGCAAAGCCACTCCCCCTCCTCTCTTAGGTTGTCATATCAAGGGCTTTACCTCATGGAAGCCAAATGTCTTATAAACCCTAATGGCACATTACCTGCAAAAAACCCTATTCCAATTACTCCCCTGAATCTCGAGTAAAAGCAGAGATAACTATGGGATAGTTAAGTCCATATGACACCTCCCCAGACACTTGCCCTCCTGGTTCTCGGTTGTTTGGGCTTTTGGTCTATCAACTGTCAGGGTCATTAAGGCCATCAACATGAAGCTACATCCACCAACTTAAATATCATTAACACCTTCTTCAGGTGTTAAGAATAATTTTAAGGCCCTTGACTTGCGCCCCCCTACCCTACCTGGGTCCGCCACCCCTAGTTCTCCCCTATCAATACCTCCCCCACCCTCTTGTGACCCATCGTTTTGAAAGAGCTTGAGCTCGAGGGTATGGTAGTAGGAGGGATGGCTGATTACTTTTGACCACAACCATGCATAATTCCATAGAACCATAAATCTGCATTAAGATAATGAATACCATCATACCTTCTCTAATACTTTGAGACATTAAGCTGAAGAGAGCATTGTAGAAGAAAAATGTGAGACCAGTATAAGGAGCTGTCATGGCCAGAGTAGGAATTATGCCTCGCCATAGGCTCAGTACTCCTTCCTGACGCAACATCTTCCCCCAAGCATCCATCATCCCATTGTAATGCTGATCAAGAGAAAATGTATTAACCGAAAAGTGTTTTAGCTGCCTCAAAAAGAGATATCAATCAATAAGTGAATTAGAATTAAACTAATTATAATAGAATTTAAACAATATACTGTATGAGCAAATATTACATTTTCTTCTTGGTCACAATTTTCTTAATACCTTTGGATGTCCTTGAGCAATAAGTCGTGTTCGTACAACATCACAAGGAAAAGATGCAAGAGTGCCACATGTTCCTGCCAATGCTCCACACAGACCATGAGTTATATACCTCTCTGCTAAGCCATGATTATCAGCTGTCTTTGTCAGAACTTCATAACTCCAGAACTGTGTGAAAATATTTCTTCAATAGTTTCAAGTACAGTACAGTAAACTAAATTTCTTCTAATAATTTCTAATACAGTTGGTGTATTACATTTGACCGAGATGAAATTAATGTTAACTATTACTGTTATCTTAGTTAACAAGCAGTTACAAAGAATATAGATCAGCAGTAACAGACCATAGGAGAGACCAAGTGATCAAAGTCATGCATGGAGTAGAAGAATTAGATCATGATAAAGAAAATACCCTTATATTGCATCTTTTCTCCTGTTGATAATTCCCATGGGTCTTCTCAAGTTATTAGTACCACATCTTCTTCAGACTCAATCTGTAATCTGTGAGATAAACTGTTGTTTTAGCTCTTCACTTAGTGATTAATTATGTCATGGATACTAGGATGGAAATTACAATTCCACACAGTAGATAATTTCCTCATCAGGAGAAAAAATAGTCAGTGTTGAAGTCCATACGATATCAACATAAGAGTAATGGGGAAAAGTATGTGATCATAATAAATATAGAATGGCAAAATCAACAATTAGCATATGCCTTTTTGCAAATGTAATTATGTTACAGATCCTGCCTTACCTCACCCACACCAATTATTGGTATGGAGAGTCTGTCTGTGGTGTAAATCAACAATAATGTCTCCAAAAAATATCTGGGAAATTTCAATGCTGTGATCTTTATTATGATATATGGTTTCCCTGGATAGAACAGAAGCTCCATAATATGGTGCTACTGTACTATCAACCATGACAAGTGTAGGTGAAGGGGGCTTTAAATCTGACCAGTAATACATCTACCTTAGAATAAAACTCACCTGTGCCATTCCAAAGGTAATGCTCAGGGCCTGGGCAGGAACATGCCCCTTCCAAAGAGCAGCTAAACCCTCATTGTGCACTATCTTGGCAGCACTCTGGAGGACCCCATGGTAAAGACCTCCCCCACGTTTTGCTGTGGGCTCCACCTGTAACTGTTTACCAAAATAACACAAATCAGTTTTTGTTATATGCAAAGCTCACAACTACAGTATAAAGACACAGAGATCATTAAATGCACTATTGTTTATTGTACAGTACTGTACAGTACAGTATTGACATAAAAACAGATTCAAAATAACATGCTCCCACACATACAAATAAGGCAAGAATGATATTTTAAAAAAAATGGAGATTCAATCCTAAATTCCTTCTTCTGGTGGAGTTTGTAGCGATACAGCACTCAATACAGGGCTACTTATTGGGGGGTTCATGTATTCACACAACCCCCTATAATGTATGCCAAAGTTATGTTATCCTTTTTGGCTATATCAATCACCATTCCCTCCCTATCATATCATCCTCTTAAGAACGAGACATTGCTACAGCTACCCTCTAGGGGCTAGATCTTACTGCAGATGAGTCTCCCAAGTCAGAACACAACACACCAAAGCATACTGTCTTCCAATTTGATTTTCTATGCATTTTTAGCTGACCAATCACAGACCAAAGGGCAGAGGGAGGGTTTCTAAGCCACCAGAGTCTGCAGTGACTGTCATCTTGGACTATTAGCTAGTAAGTGAATAATAGTGCAGTATTGACTTAAGCCCTTGATAGCAAACAAGGTGCCTTAGGGTGGCCTGAGTTAAGTGGGTCAACTAAGTTCCAGGGAGACCTCTTAGATCGTAGAGAGTACAGGTAGCCATTGAGCTAAGTTTCTCTCTGAGAGAACAGTGTAATACAGTAGGGTGAAAAGAGTGATGGGTATAATTAGTGATTAAAAAATCAAGCCTGCTGCTATTATAGGGGGTTGTATAAGTACATACATCTCCTATGAATTAGTCCTGTATTACAGGAGTTCATTGGCTTTAGAGTGATAGAAAGAAATGCCTTTAAATTCATTATTAATACTTCAACTCACCATAATAAATGATGGAAATTTTAATACATTTCAGTCTAATCCCTAAATTAATGTACTCCAGCCTATAAAAATACTGTATATGTCTCATGTTCAGCAATATGTTGTACAGTAATTTTCATAAAACAGAGATAGAACTCACTTGAAATCTAATTTTGAGAACATCCAAAGGTTGTAAGAAACCCCTCGTGAGAAATCCACTGACAGCACCAGCAACTGCATGATCTTTAGCTGTCAGATGCCCCTGGTTGTCACTCTTGTGCCCAACATAGCTAACCATCACACTAAAAAATAAAGTTGAAGAAATTTAAAAAACTTATTCCAAATTTTCCATCCTTTTCAATACCTCCCTACTTATGTTGGGTGAATGAAACCACTATTGTTCTTTCTTCAAGTACTGTAGTAGCCCAGGGTGTTTTATTATATATGTGATGACAATGTATCTCAGTCGCCACAACTACTGGGCACTCTTAAAGTTCGTTTTGTGGGTGGAAAAATTGCACCTCCCCACCCCCACACCCCGTCATATTAAACAGAAGATACTTAGCCAATTAAAGAGTACTCACGGTAAAATAGTATTAGTAGGAACTTAGCTGGACACGGAAAAATATCCACTACGTAACTAAAATAGGTTTCCCTTATGTTTTTTATGGCGATTTGAACGAATATGACCTTTATATCCGTGGAAAAAATATATATAAAGGAGATATGATCCCTTTAACACTAGCAACAACGATTTCTCCCAAAGTCAGCTGCCAGCAGGGTTTCGAAAATTAGGGAAAATGTGAAAATACCTTAAAAGTACAATATTACAGATGTTAATGCAGTAAATATTCGTCATAATACATAATCAGACATTCTTGTTAATTCTATAGATCAATAATATAATTCTTTACCTGCTTTAAGCATTAATTCTTTATGTGTGCCCCTCTGTGTTAACTCCTTCACCGGTTGTGGTCTAGTATATTACATAACCCTGAACAACACAGCTGATATCCTAAATCAGGTTCCTGCCAATTATTATGTACAATTTATAAAACTATTAAAGCTAATTCTTTTCCATCCTATTTTCTTTAAATTTGGTGGTTTATATATGTTTAATAAGTTGTAAATAACATAGAAGTTGTCACACACGTCTTTAAATACCTACATCTACCCTGGTGAAAATAAACAGCAGCAGCAGCAGAGGATGAGGTACAGTAGTTCTTATTAATATTTTAGTAACATAGCTTGTAGATAATTAACACCTACATAGATATATATATACTGGCAAAGTAAGTACTGTGGCTGTAATATAGCTCATTCACTCATGAAAATAGTGTATTTACGCCTAGTAGTTTATATTGATAATGTAACTTGGTTAAACGTCATTATTACACCGCACATGGTCTTGGCCAGACACACAATTGGAAATATGTTAGTCAATAAGAAATAATGGTAAATATTCTCCCATTGGCTGTCCTCAGGTTTTGGTACGATAATAGTTTTTCTTTGTTGAAGGGGAGGGTTTTTTTGTGTGTGTTTTACTCATATATGAACTTCATTTCTTGTGCAAATTAGCGATTTTTGCACGCAAAAAAATCTTTTTCTACAGAAACCGCTAATTTGCAAAAAATGGAGGTCAGATTTTAGTAAAAAAAAAAAAAAACTATTTAACCTATTCTCATACCAAAGGAATCAACCTACCTAACCTAACCTACCGGTCCGACTAATTACCCAAATGTAGCCGCAATTAAGTCAAATGATGGTCCTACATGAATCAATCGGACTGCCAATCACTTCTCGACTGGTATTTGGTGTCATAAAGTCACAAAAAATTGGTAAACTTAATTTAATCTGAGTTGTGTTAGGTTAGGTTAGGTACATGCACTCGATTTATTAACTCAGATTGAATTACGTTTTCCATTTTTTTTTTTACTTTGTGACACCAAATACCAGTCGAGAAGTGATTGGCAGTCCGATTTATTCATGTAGGACCATTATTTGACTTCATTGCGGCTACATTTGGGTAATTAGTCGGACTCAACCTACAAGTAGGAGGAGGAGGAGGAAGACAAGTGACTAAGTGAGGAGTATTACCTGCAGGTAAACATGGCTGGAACCTGCGGACAGCCAATGGACGAATATTAACCGAAATAATACCTTCTGAGGTTGCCTGTTCCTGCTGCCTCTGAGGAATGATAAAATTTTTTGGTAAAACTGTAGAAGGAAGGACACTACTGAGGGCTTACCAGGTTAGATTGCCAATAATGGATTTCTGAAAGTAATATAAATGAGCAATTTTGAAGTTTACTTTTACACTTGGTGAAGGTTTGTTGGTATTATTTTAGTTTAGGCCACCCCCCATCAGAAAGGGGGGGGTGGCTCTGGGAGGGCTTGCAGGGTTAGGTAACATATAGTTCCTGGGTTGTGTGGCTAGGTTAGATTAGGTTGGGTTTCTAAATACAGGGATGACCAAAACTAAAATTTACCAGTTTGTTTTCACTGGAATTTTCTACTGAAACTGGTAGTACCAGAGCAAAGTGATGTAATACTTTACAACATTTACTCATGAGATGTACAGGAAAACTCTCTTTAGAAGAAAACAGGGTAACGTATGGCAACACTGCTAGCACCAGAAAAAGTTTATGGATTTGTTTCATTTTTTATCACAGTATGTTTTTATCATTATAATACAGTAAATATTTTAAAAGAGGCGACATATAATAGTACCTAACCTAACCATCCCAAGAAACTTACCTAACTTCCTAGCCATCCCCTAGACCCCTCGCCATATGAAACAAAGTATTGTACTTATTTTGATATCTGATTTCAGTGAGAGTAACTTTGTCAAAGTGTCATTGTAATTTTATGTCTTTTGTGCACATGAGAGTACGCTAAGACCAAGCAAGCCCGTTGCAAACAAACTACACATGCTGACTCGGCAGATTTATCGGGGAGTATACGGTAAATAATTTATTTATTCATGTACAAAACACACAGACATCATTTTAGTATAATATGATCAGTTTTCACCGTGTTTTACCCCACAATTTCCCTCATCCCCTGTCCACTACAGGTGATTTATGATCGTAGATTGAGAAAAACTAAAATTATTTATTAATTAAAATAAAAACTTGTCACCTCTTTTAAGATATTTACTATAATGATAACAGCATCTGTTGAAAAAATGAACTAAATCAAACAACTCCTGATGGTAGCGGTTTCCTCATGACTTATTGAAAACATTAATTATTCAGCAGTGACTATGCACATAACTTTATACAGTACTGATTTGTATATAAGGAAGTAGAGGAAAACCTATATACAGTATACGGGTATAGTGTTTTCGTCAAAAATTAAATTTTTATATTTATTTATTTTTTTACTTTTTGATTTAACATAAAACAAATACAATTTTGATCATACAAAGTGAGCAGGGCTTTGACGTAGAGGAAAACTATGGGGTAAAAAAACCTGCAATTTTTTTTTTTGCCTAACCTAACCTAACCAGAGAAACCAGAAGGACCAGACCTCGGAAAGTTGGAATTCCTTCCCTTTCTCTGTCTCTCTTTTTAGATATTCTAGAAATAAGAAAGAAATTTTACCAATAATTTTTTTAAAGTTGCTTTTTTTTTTACAAGTTGACATTGTAAAGTATTGCCCAAGAGAAATCAACTTTGAATATACAACACTGTAAAATACAGTATTGTACAATACTTAAGAAATAGCAAGTCAGCTGCATCCTTACACACATATCGTATTTAGTACTTTTGCAATTAAAAATATACCCATCTCAGAATGATGTCAGATTTTAAAACAAACACTGAACATAGTATCAGTTGGTTGCTAATATTAAAGTTGATGATAAATTTTCATAAAATATCCATAGGTTGAAAACAATGCTAAAATGCTGTCATTATTTTCAGATATGTCCGTCTACCATGACGAGATTGAAATTGAAGATTTTGACTTTGACGAAGAAACAGAAACTTACTACTACCCCTGTCCGTGTGGAGATCGATTCCAGATCACAAAGGAGGAACTAACCTCAGGAGAAGACGCTGCAACCTGTCCCAGCTGTTCTCTTATTGTTCGAGTAATCTACAATGTTGTGAGTTACATTATCCAGTATTTACGTATTATAGTATGTACTACAGGTACCATAGTTGGCCATAAACCATTCTTATTATACTATACAGTGTTGTGTCTACTACAGGTACCATAGTCAGCCATAAACCATTTTTATTATACTGTATTGTGTATATTACTGACCACAGGCAGAATGTTTCCCCTCTCATAAAAGACATTACAGCACAGCACAGTATTCACTATTCTTGACCAAATTAACTTGGTCCCTTATGACATTATATATTATTTTTTACCTAATGGCTCATGCTGAGGGAAGGAGGCCAGTGACCTCTGTATGATCCCTCTATTGTTCTGTACATAATGTTCTTGCTTCCACAGCTTGAGCCATAGGCTTACCACCCTCTTATGTGACTTAAACAGGATATAATGAAGTGGGTGTTGATTCAACATTACAGTCAACACTACTCTTATGGGCAGCTCTGGAGAAAAGCTGCAAATATTGGTAAAAATATTTTAAAATGATTATGCAGTTCTGTACAGTATTAGAAGACAGTTGATAGTACAGTGTATGTGAACATGAGTAAAGTAATGAAAATAATTACAGAAGGGAGATGGGGATAAATAGATGTTACTTTGCAAGAGATCAAATTGAACCAGACTAGTCGAGAAAAGAAAGTAGAAAGCATATAGAAAAGTGTTGGAGAAATAACCTTATCAAAGGCAAGGATGTGAATGTCCAGGAGAATCATTGAGCTGATATTATTGCCATAAAGTGTTGTTTTTAGATGTTTAGTATGGACTCTGGTTGCCAGAAAAAGAAGCATATTACAGTAGTGGGCACAATAGACACTCTGGAAGCAACTGTGTGTGTGAATGGGCAAAGCATGGTATTTAATGATGTGGGAAGGTATGCTATTGGTTGTGTGAAGCAACAGGGATATTTATAATCTTGTTGTGGAAAAGGAGTACTGTACAGTACCATAGCAAAATACAATTATTACACTATTACAATATACTATACTGTAGTAGTAATAATATTGAATGACAGGATTGTGTATGTGCATTTGTTGATTCTGGCCACCTTGCATACATATACCCTGTACCTGTATTGGGAATGGATTAAAAAAAATTTCTTTCTCCTGAAACCCCCCCAGATATAATGATTCAGTTGGTAATTAAGTATTTTAACTATTTTACAGGAAGATTTTGCAGAGTATGAAGAGGAGAGTGTAACTGTTAGCCAAGAGAAACCATTAGCAACAAATTGAGGCATCCCAGCAGCAAAACCTTTCAGTGTAAGTATTTGTATACCCATATTTTAAATAGAAATCTGAATATTAGAATGTTCTTGTAGAAGAAGCAGTTTTTGCACTTTTATGAATGAGTCAACAGTTTAATATTGTTCAGACAAGTTAAAATTACATTAAAGCAGAAGTGATTTTGTAATTTACGCACTGCTTAAAAAGTGGGATTTCAGCCTAATGTTACAGAAAGACGTGACATAATCGTCAGAGTTATCAGGTATCACGTGACCTGTCAGTGGCATTTAATGGTTTTCACTCAATCTCATCATGGCACTCTCAACACACACTACCCCACAAGCACTGTGAGTACCATGGCGTGACCGAGTGAAAACCGTTTAATGTCACTGACAGGTCACATGATACCTGATAACTCTGAGGATCATGTCACGTCTTTTTATAACATTAGGCTGACTGATTTAGTTTTTAGTGTATGGGAATAATTTAGGGTTCTTGAATAAAAAAAAGTCACCCTGTATATATTCACTTATCATGATGGAGTTGTTTCTTGGAGATACAGTACAGTAGATATTAAACTTCTTTCTTATCATTATTCTTGTAAAAACAGGAGACAAGATGGGTGGTAGAGGGCGAGGTGGTCGTGGTAGGGGCCGTGGAATGACGTTCGAGCAGCTGGGTGTACAGAAAGGTGAAGTTTTACCTGAAAGAGTGGTAGGTCCTCCCGAAACATATCCTCCTCTAGAGTTCCGTCCTGTTCAGCCCACGCAAGATAAAGATTTAGCAGATTCCTATCTTCTTGTAGTTAAAAAAGAATACAGAGAACATATGCAAAATTCTCAATATTATATTCAACCTGGTGTCAAGAGACCCGATATTGAGAGGTACTCGGATAGATACCAAGTGCTAGCCGGTCATCATGGCCAGTTAACACTCAATTGGTCACGGTTTCCTAAGGAACTTCACCCTTCTGTACCATCTGCTGCCAACAAAAAGAGAAAGAAACTCGCATCGAAAATGAAAGTAAATGTTAAGAAAGCCAGAACAAAAGATGTTAATGTAAGTGAAAGACTCGAGGCTTTAGAAAAAAAAGAAGCTACTCAGGGTGTAGAGGAAAATGAGGAAGAAGGAGAAGATGAAGAAGAAAAAGCTGAGGAGACTTTGGAAGAATTAGAGGAGGTTGATGAAGAACTGGATGAGGGGACAGACTATGTAAACAACTATTTTGATAATGGTGATAGTTATATTGATGAAGAAGATGATGCACTTGAAGAAGGTGGAGTTTTCTGAAATTTTAAGTCGATGGCACTAAATTTTTTTACCGTGTATGGACGTGGCTTGTGCCTTATGTTTTTATTCCTTCGTGTACTTAAATTCTGATTTTCACTTGCAAATCGTTTTAATTTGTCATCAGTCAGGGTCTTGCAAGTGAATATGGGTTTCATAAGTGTTTAAGGAAATTAGAGTGCCTGTATGAGTGTGTTATATTTATGTAATGCAAGTTTTTTACTTTTTTTTTTTTACTGTATATGACAGTTAATGTCAATTTGGCAGGAAGTAGGTAGGAGTTATTTTTTTCACAAATGGAATACTTTTTTTAAATGCAAAATGATTTTTATATATGGAAATGTGTATTCACGTTACACATGGAGGTAGTGTGGCAAGTATTGTAATCAACCAACTTCACTTCCCCACCTAGTAATGTTGGAGACCCCAGTTACAGCTGGGAGTGCCCTAGGGTTGAGACTTAGAACAGGAGACAAGCACTATATCTGCTTGGTTGCTGCACCCATTTACTTTCCAACTTCTCTAAAATTAAGAGAGATTCAGTTGTGGAAATAACTTCAATTAATGTTGTGGAATTAGACAGTACAATACAGTACATTGTGGACGTAAAGGCAACCAAGCTCAATGTAAATGATATTGTCCTGTCACAGTGAATCAGTTCTACCTGTACTATGTGTTGGCTTCACAGAAATCTGTACATCACAAATACAGCTTTTTATTCAATGTTTGTATCACCTGGTGGGTCCTCGTGTACTTCTCTATTCAGGTGATAATTGAGTAAGGGTAATGCTGTCACACTGGATTAAATACAAAAATTATCACCAAACCTTACTTAATTCCCAAGTGTCCCACTGCCACATAGCAGCTAATCCATCAAACAGACCGTGCCAAACTTGTCCTGTAAACTCACAAAAGTTAAAATGCTTATATTGTTGCCTGTTTATACTTGTTTCACTGTTACATTTTCGTAGTTACCCCCGTACTTACTCTAAGGTGATAAAACCGTAATGAATTGTGCGAGAAGATTATTCTTTAAATAAATACGTATTGCTTTACTCATCATAAGCTGGCTGCATCTACCTGAACTGTGGGCCACATAAAATAAAATTTCTCAAATTACTCCGCGGGCCGCAAAGAGACATGGTTCGGGTGGCATGCGGCCCACAGGATGCGGGTTGCCCATGCCTGGCATATGACATATTTCAAATCTCATGTCTATTTTTTATGATTTGTTTATGTGTTTGTTTGTCCTTCACTGAGACTAATACATTGTCCTGGCTATGGCCTGTTAACACCAGTGTCTCTAAACCTGCAGTAGTACTATACAGGACAATACTTGTACCCTAGTGACTTTGCATTAACTAGTGGCCAGGACTATACAAGTCAACCAGTGGTTTCCAGAAAGCCATTAGCCACCTATGATACTGGGGGTTTGATGGATAACCCCATCAAGGTTTAAAGCAGTCCCTTACAGACCAAAATGCAAGCACAGTGATAAGTCACATGATAAAGGGCATCATATTACAAATGGCTGAAGTGAGGGAATGTTTCTTATGAGACAGTACTTATGAAAATCTGACATTTATTGAACATACACATTACAGTTGGAATATCTTTTAGAGGAATTGAATCCAACTAAAGAAGTGCATCGGCATTAAAAAAATACTGGTATTGTTACCTAAATTAATATTTCTCACATTAATCATATGAAAATGACTGTACAATGAGCAGATTTTCCTTAAAATTAGTACATGTAAATATATAATAAACCTCAATGTTAATTCATTTAGTTCATAAAATAAGGCTTCCCTTATGTAAGCTGTAACAGTGAATAAGCTTACATTCCAACTTATTTATTATTCAAATAAAATATTAGGTGTGCAGGCATCCCTCAATATACGATCTCACGGCTCATGAAAATTTGATTTAATTATTTAAATTATTTTTTTTTTTGCTTTATGATTGGACTTTCTCTGTTTAAAGATTGCAGTGACAGGAAATTAAAAGAAATATCACTCCTTAGCAGCTTCATGTACATATTCCTCTTCATTTCTCATCCCAAAATGGCTGAAATTCAAAAATGCATTCATTGTTATCTGCAGGCCCGTCCTTTGGGGGGGGGGCAACCACCGCTGGTCCCAGCACTAGACCCAGTGACCATGGACACATTACCTGTTGACTGGTTAATCTGACCTCACGGCTTACGCCACCATCGCAACCGTGACCTTACCATCCATAGCGACAGTTCAATGGGGGTGGGTTTCTCTAACCGCATAATCCATTGCACTCCAGTCCACCAGTGAGATGAGGTTGTGTCCTGTGACTCCTGCCTTTTGAGTTTTGTGATATATATATATACGTATATCACTGTAGTTGCACGTGATCCAGGTATATGCTGATAACCACAAGGAAAGAAGAAAACACAAAGTTCCCAAGCACTTTCGTGTAATTCACATCTTTTTTTTTTCTGGGGCCCCGCAGTGGCTGAGTTGCCCCGGGTCCCACACCCTCCTAGGGACGGCCCTGGTCATCTGAGTAGGGAAGGACTACCTGTCCACTGTTGCCTGAATCTTTCTACTTGAGCCACTAACTGCATTCATCACAAGTGTTTTTGCTTTGCTCACCACTCTTATGCCACGTGCCCACCTATTACGTACGATAACCATTGTGCTGATCACTGTGCTTACAGACTGTAATTGTCAATCATAATACAGGTACATTTGTGGTGTCATTCTCTAGTGAATTCAGTGATTGAACTCTAAAATACTAGGAAACATGCAGCTGTCACCTCAAGCAAAGTTAAGTGTCTTCATAAGGCAATTACTTTGGAGGTAAAACTGGGCATCATCAAGTGCCATAAGAAGGGTGAAGGCCTCATTTCCATTACAAGAGCACTTGGTCTGGCCCATTACCCCTGTATATAGTACTGTATCTACCATTGTCAAGAATGTTACACCAGTTAAGACCGTAGGAGAAAGTGTGACTGCAAGTACAACCACGAGGCTGACGAGAGCATGTGACCCGCCATGGTTAATGTGGAGAGACTACTGCAGTCAGGCTTAGGCTCTGAACGGACTGAGGGAACTGAGACTTTCAAGGCAAGCTCTGACTGGTTGGAGTGGTTCAAGTTATGTGCCAACCCCCAGAGCTTCCATCTCACAGGAGAGGCAGCAAGTGTGGACTGTGAAGCTGCCACTACTGTCACCAATCGCCTGAAGGTGAAGATCCAAGAAGGAGGATTCAGTCCCAAGCAAGTTATCAAGTCTGATGAAATGGGTTATTTTGGAAGAGGATGTCCTCCTGAACCTTCACTGCAAAAGAGAAGAACCTGCTTCTGATTTAAAGCTGCCAAGGCATGCCTCACCCTGTCATTTGGAGGTAACACCAAAGATTTTGAACTGAAGCCACTCCTTGTCTGCCACTTGGAAAATCCATAAGCACTCAGGGGTTATATTAAGGAGTTTCTAACGGTCATCTGGAAATCAAATCTTTAGCGTGGTTGACAATGACATTGTGCCAGAGCTGCGTGGTTGGCTACCTCTCCAGAAAGTGTAAGGAGTACTGAAAGGCCAATTATCTTGCCAACACGTACCTTGTGATCCTCAAAAATGCTCCTGCACATCCACCATCCATGGACGAGTGGGCAGACAACACTGACATGCTGTTTGTGCCACCAAATGCAACCTCACTCATCCATCCCATGGACTGGACAAGCCAACAACCAAGGAGTTGTGGCACAATTACAACATCAAGAAGGTATGGACAGCATTTCAGAGTCATGGAAGGAGGGTATGGAAAACTTTTGGCTGAAGTGTGTGCATGGTTTTCATGGATTTGAGCCAGTTAAAAAGATTTGCCGAGATATTGTGCAGCTCTACCACCAGGCTGGCTTTAATGAAGTTGACCAGGAAGAAGTTTAGGAACTCCTTGATGCCATGAAGAGGAGCTAAGCAAAGAAGAGTTGATGTATCTGAAGAAGTTCTCAATTGATGCACAACATTGAGCAACAGATTCATTATCAAGAATGTAAGAATCAAGTGAGTGAAAGACACAACAGAGTATTATTACCAGCTTCTTTGGGGTCAAAACTCCCAAAAGAGACAGCCCGAGTCACCTGAGCCGGTTCCATCTACCCTCAGAGTTAGCTTTTATAGAACCTAAGTCATGCTACCCTCCCCTGAGATCAGACCTGCCACTCCAACAACTTTAAGTGCACCGAGTACCACCCATTCATTAGTGGCTGAGTTAGAATGATTATTCAGAGCAATAGAAGTCCTCCAGCCTCCGAGTGTGGCCCTTACAACATAATATAGGCGTGATAACTTTCACCTTACTATTTTTCTTTACCATTCATTTTATGATGTATGGGGGAGGTGCTTTCATACTGTAATTTTTCCATGACTTAACCCAACTCACTTTTCTATTTTTATTTAATATTTATATCACCATTTTCATACTACATATAGTGTATGTACAAAATATGCATTGCATTGTGGCATCGAAGTATCATTATATTGTGGCATTGAGGTGTAGTAATTTACTACTGTGAGTTTTAGAGCCTATTTGGGTGAAAACCCCCACTTTGAGTGACTTGGGAACATAACCCCACTAACATCATGCTAAAACATGTTCAATATACAGTATGATCATTCACTTAACCATTGGGTTTTGAGGAATACAAACTGATTGTAAATCAAGGGACACCTGTACAATATTTCTATATTCCAAATATATATATATGTTATATTATGCATATTGTTATCCCCCAGAAGTGTTTTACAATGCTTATCTTCCAACATTAAGCATTAACATACACTTCTAAGATGATGCCGAGGATAAACTACTTGCTGTTGTACTGGAGTTGCCTATAACTTTTTTACTTCCCGTTTCATACTTACACATTACAGAAAACATATCACCGCCAAGTCTGCAACAATTACAGATATATTAGAACATAAAGGAATTTACCTCTGTTTTAGGAATGTAGGAGAATTAATCCAAATTAACTCCACATAAAAGATTAACTTATAATATTTATCATATAAGAATTCATCTAATAAACATTAAAAAAAAAGTCTGGAGTCAGAATAAAAAGACCTTATCTATGGAGTCAACTTGTATACTGGTTATGCAAACTGAGGGTGGGTGTGTGTGGAGGGAGAGGATAATATTTGTATGGAGTGTGGGGGGTACTTGTACAGTATTTGTAACTACTATAGCCTTTAACTGTTACTTTGTACATTAGTCTTGCACTATTCTTCACTAGTGTCTCCCCTATTTCTTTGAGGCCTAAGTCACCTATACTGTACTTACATCTTTCTTACATAATATACACTGTACTGTACCTATTTTCTTCTAACTACTGCTTGAAGATCTTATTAATTAATTTTGCATACCCCCATTTAAAGATGATCTATCTATATCATCTATACACTACAGCTTCAGACTATACAACAACTCTATGAATATATGTCAACCATTAGAGCAGAATTGTTGTACTAATTCCCAAAAACAAAAGCCTATAAAAAAAATTTGAAAAAGTAAAATAAATAAGTTTTACCCATATCCTAACTAGGTATTTTATTTTAGATATGTAGGAGACTTAAATAGCTGAAGCTCTGAAGAATAAGACCACACACTTTTATTCAGTCAGTATTAACGATTAAATATTTTGTAAATACTTGTCATAGTCAACACACAGAAGATTGCATTAGGGGACTGATATGAAAGATATATCTGTCACAGAAACCAGTATCAATATGAAAAAACAAAAACAGTACAGTACATTATGGTTTTATACAAACTTCATATAAGAATTAAATAAACATTTCTCAAAACATAATCACTTTTGTATATTAATATTTCAATGAAATATGGAACATACCTGTGGGCTAGCCATCTGTTCTTTATAACAGCAAGCTTCAGGGAATCACATGTGAGTGGGGTAAGTAGATTAGTGTGGATGGCTCGCCCCATCCCCTCCATCATCACCAGGTCACATCCCCACTGTACCAATTCATCCACTAGTGAAAGTGGAAGACGACTGAAAAAGGGTGATGAGCAAATATTTGTGGGTTGTTTGTATGTATAAATACAGATATTCAATCAATGTATCAATATATGATATGCAATTTCTCATTACACAGCAAGAAACCTTAACCAGCTGTTCTAAACATATCTTGACAGCTTATCTCACATTTCCTCATAGATCCCTGCCCTTTGCACATCAAGAAGGATTGACCATTTGGGTTGTCTGGGTAATATTTCCCATAATAAACAATGAACAGTAGTTTAGCACCCACTCGCCCCATTAACAAAATCAACATCTGGACATTGAACTGTGTCGGCCACGTGTAATATATTACTAGTATTTTCTACTTGCCCAGAGAAGAAAATAACCTGTAAGAATATGGCACCTTTATCTCTTGTAAATATAAATAACGTTACATAAGGGTTATATTCCTAGAATATGGTATGAAAAACATGAGCAGCTTTATATAACACCATCTGTGAGGAAATTACTACACCACGTGAGGCCCCTCATAACACCATATGTGAAGGAGTTACTACACCACGTGAGGCCCCTCATAACACCATCTGTGAGGGAATTACTACACCACGTGAGGCCCCTCATAACACCATCTGTGAGGGAATTACTACACCACGTGAGGCCCCTCATAACACCATCTGTGAGGGAATTACTACACCACGTGAGGCCCCTCATAACAACATCTGTGAGGGAATTACTACACCACGTGAGGCCCTCATAACACCATCTGTGAGGAATTACTACACCACGTGAGGCCCCTCATAACACCATCTGTGAGGGAATTACTACACCACGTGAGGCCCCTCATAACACCATCATCTGTGAGGGAACTACTACACCACGTGAGGTCCCTCCTAACACCATCTGGGAGGGAGTTACTGCACTACGTTTTTGCTGTTCAACACCTACATTAATCTGTATGTTCACTGTATGTTCCTTTACCTTTCTCTAACGAAGGCTTTTGTTAAACCACCAATGTATGTAATAAGTCATTTATGTCCAATGTATATTTTCAGCCTTCGGGCTGCAGAACTTTTTCAATAAACCGTCAATTATTATTATTATTATTATTATTATTATTATATTATTATTATACTGTACTGTAGTAGGCAAGTGGTTGTTTTAAATTGACCTACCCAGCCCAAATATTCATACACTTGACCCCCCTTCCCATATCAAATACTGAAACTTGTATATCTCACAAATACCTGTACAGTACATACACAAAACTCACATACATTACCAAAAATGAACCATTGAGTACTCAACCAGAACAGAATGAATGTAAAACATACATAAACCCACATTGGCTGGCCCACAACAACCCAAATACTGTACCACCCCAGCCACATAGCATAGCAACAACTAGGGTACACACATACTGTACGGGCTATGATCACTGCCCTGTTTTGGTAATGGAAGAAGAATCCTTCCTTAATTTTCCCTGATAATGATATCTTTAACAAAGTCCTATCTGCACATGTTCCTCTTTTACATTCAGATTCACCAACATCATTTAGAATTTAAGTCTTTTATACAAAATGAGGAACTTACCTGAGATCAAGGCAGGGTGAAGCCTGACCTGACTCACGTATACAGAGAGTGTCAGTTTCTAGGTGTTGGCTAATGATGGGGCACACACCAGCTACTTGTTTCATCAGCATATTTAGTTCCTCAGCTGTCACATCATTTAATGCTGGTTTACTGTTTGCACACAACACAACCTGGAGGAAAGATGTATCATTAGGTTTTGCATTGTCATTTACAATATTTTGAATAATTTCCTCTTAGTTTATCTGATGAAATATAAACACAATGAGGGACTCATCCTGAAATCCCTTCTTACAGCCAAACCTAGATTATGTGACTTAATAATGGTGAAACACTGCTGACAGGAAATATTTAAAAATTAATTGCCATTCCTTTTATAATCCCATCCCTTTAATAAACAAAGGGCCTGTGAGGTGAAAATTACCACCTCAGGCTGAAGGTTATGAGACTTTGCTGTCACACTTAACAATACATTCCTCGACTTTCATATGACACCACTTTTAAGCCTCATTTCACAAGTGTGCCCCTCAGTTCCATCACACTGAAGCAGCACTTACAAGGAAGAGGAAGAGAACCCGAGTTGCCTGACCCAGCCTCATCTATTAAATGGATTTATAGACTGATGCCTGGCTTGGGTATCTCGAGTAACTCAAGCCAGTTAGAAATGAAAAGGAGGCACAACAAAATTAATGAGGTGAAATGTAACCAATTGGGAAGTAGAAAGAAAAGATTAACCTTTACAGTCCCCATGTTCACATAACTTTGAGGTGTAGAAAAGGTATTAGTTAATAATTGTAACAAATACAGTACTACTGTACAATGGAAACCAAGTGGAATGTGAGTTTCTACATCATGATCAACTACAGTACTAGTAAATTGCAACCATGTGGGATATATTTTTTTTTTTTCACACAGCTAGATGTATTGTGAGCAATTATGGAGGAACCCCAAACAACGAGCAATAGCAAGAACATAAAGTGCAGAGATATATTTTTTATGGCTTGAAACAAAGGAAAAATACAAGTGATTGACAAATGTCAAAAAATACATATTCAAGTTTCGATAGGTAGTACTGTAATTAATTCAGCATCTCAAGAGGCAGCTGGCAACTATACAGCATTATTCATTTAGTAAAGAGTAATCCTTCTTACAAAAATTAAAACCAAAATGGCATTTATACTTTTATTGGAATGCAATTATGAAGATCAATGAAATCATAGGCAAAACAAATGTTTATGGGAAGGGCATAAAGCATAAACGTCTCAATTAGGAATAAAATAGTTGCAATATTGAGCTGCATAAAGGTAGCAGATGTTAGATGAATGAGGGTCTCTAAAATCTGATTGTTAACAGAGAAGAATATTATTGCCAAAAAAGTCTTACTATTTGAACTATTTCCATAAGTTTACCGGTATATACAATACACAAGATACTAACACACCTTTAATTATCTATATCAGACCTGTTGTTTTACTTAACGGTTGGTGTTATTCTGGCAAATTTATGCTACATATCATAATTCTATAAGGAACAATTTCATAAAAAAAAATTAATGGAACAATAATTCAAAACAGCATTAAAAAAGGTGGAGAAGGATCATGTAGTAAAAAAAATTATATACTGTATATAAAGAAAAACACGTGAAAGGAATTGGGATAAGGAAGGGAAGAAAAACATGAGGAATGAGGTACTGTACACACAAAACTTACTCTGGTTCCTCGGACAAGCAGTTCTCGAGCAAAGGGGATAATCCCAAGGACGACATCACAGCCAGAATTGTCAAGAAATATAACAGCACATTTATAGGGAGACTGTTGTTGCCGACTAATCCAGGCATCTAGATCATCATGAAGCCACGGGCGAGCTGGAATGTAATCAAGATACAGGTATAGTATTACTGATGCGTAACCTAAAGGAGGAGCTACGTTGAAAGAATCTCCGTTACAATATGAAACTTAATATCTCTGTATGTTAATCTGGCTTGATTAAAAGCACAACTCTTGTCTTATATCATTATTACAAATAAATAAATACAGTGAATCAGGAACAGGTGATGTAGGGATCCCTCAGAAGTGGGTGGAGAAAGTACTGTACTAGAAGTGAAAAGGGTGAATGCAATAATTAAGGTTTCTGAAATTACTAGCTGGCAAGGATCTGACAAGTGTCATGTCTGCATAGTCACTCCGGTTAGGCTAAGTGAGGAAGTGAAGGATTAGTTTTGTGATAAGTTGGGAGTTGGTGCATGGAGTGGGTAAAAGTGAAATTGTAGTACTGGGTGGTGATCTGAACAGTCACTTTTGCATACACACTAAGAGTTATGAAGGTGTGCATGGTGGAAAAGGTTACAGTACAAGACAAGGAATGTGGAAGGAGATAGAATACTGTATACAGTATACTGGTAAATAAAGCAATTTTGAGTATAAAATTGTCTATTTAAAATTCAACTTCTCAGCTATACTCCCCAGTCCCCACATAAGATAATTATAGAATATGAAATTTAGTCAGATGGCATAAGTTATCACCGTGGGTGACTAATTCAGCTAGAATTAATAGCCAAGATACTTTCTATTATCTGCCAGAATCAACAGCTAATGCAATTATGTTGTAGTACAATAAACACTAGAGCCTAGACTACCCAGCCAGGAACATATCCCCCCTTAATATACATTGTTTCTTTTGGGAAAATTACAAATATTTCACATATGCAGCAACACCTCACATCACAAGGGTTTTCAGGAAAGACCCCATGTGATAAACTTGGACAAGCTACCTACAAAATTTATAAAAATTTCTGTCTTTCAATCAAATGTACACTAAAATGTCTTAGGAGTTATTTTAGTATGGCTTTGGGGGAAAATTTGGTCCGTGGGAATATATCACCAATTATGAAAGTCAATGGAAAAACAGGTTTGAGTTATGGAATTTTGAATTACAAACTTTTCAGGGCCATAATACTTTTGTAACTCAAGGGATGACTGTTTTATGTCAAAAAATAAACCCCTACAGGAAATTAATAAAAAATTATTTCATAAACAAAAGATAACCAACCTTGGAGTTTGTCTGCAGCTTCCTTGAAGCCAAGTCCTTGTTCCATAAGCTCTACCACTTCCTTGGCTCCCCAATCAAACACATTGCCTGCTAAAATCCCACGGACTAAAGCCTCCTGGCGTTTATTGTATTCTAATCCATCCAAGACCTTCAAGTGGTCCTTCAATAATTTTAAAGCATTTTCATTCTCCAACTGAAAAGATATATTAATCACACAAGATATAAAAAAAAAAATGGGGGACAATACTATACTGTACATAGAACGTAAATGTAGTAAGAATAAATTACATATCTGTAAACTTGCAACACTACAGAGAAGAGTAATAAATAATAACCTCACCTGGATCTCTATCTTCCTAACTCAGCAAAATAGACGGTGGACCCCTGATAGGAAATGTGGTTAGATTCCTCAGGGTCTTGTTCTCACCAGCCACTCCCAAGGATATAAAGGCCATAATACAAACAATTCAATAGCCAAGCATAACTGTCATGTGTTAATAATTACTGTAATTCAAGCACAGGTGACCAGTCTGTCAAACTAGGCCATGGGCCATGGCACATACAGTACTGTATTACTCAAGTACTAAATGCTATTGCTAGAGGATCACAACACAGCAATATGATATATTTTTACACTCTGTAAAAGAGAAAAATCCTTCAGGACTCTGACAATACCTTTTTCTGTTGCAGGTAGGGATCGGGAAAATCAAATTCATTGAGACAATGTTCTCGCATGTCAAGTAAACTCCGTACAGTCAAGTTACCATAAGCACTGGAAGAAATAAAATAAGTGTTTCGTTTTATTCCATTAAGAACAGTTTTAAAATAAGAGTTCTTGACATTATATCATATCATATATTTAGTCATTTTCAGGAGAGATAATTAGTGTTGTAAGATCAAAGCCACACAGTGATATCAACCAGCTAGTAAACTGAAAATGGTAATAATAATACAGTATATTAAAATTAATTAAAATTCAGCAATTTCAACATCAGTGAATTATGTTCTTTGCCGCCGCCATCCACAAGTTCATAGATTGATCAAAACTAAACTGTAAGTATACTAATAAGGCATCCAACCAATAAACAGCAAATAGCAAGAGACTTCATATCAGTACAGTACAGGCAATATTGTACTGATTTTCTTCCAAATTTATGAAAATATTCAAATTTCTCAAGTTAACTACTGTACACCCAAAAATAACATGAAATAAGAACCATTATATTTAAACCTTCAATCAACCTCTATGTACAATGGATCAAAGATCAGTGAGTCTGTCTATGAAAATAAGGATCATTCAGGGGTGACAGAGATTCAAGGTCGGCATGATACTGTACTGTAAATGTAAAGAAATTTATATTGAATTGTGTTAAGTTCTGGAATTCACAGTATGGTATAACACTTACTTTTCAGGCCTATTGACACACATATATTGTATGTCGTTTTACATACATCACACACAGGTTCCACAAACAATATCATGCCAATTTTCAACTTCTGATGTCACCCCTTATCAAAGTCCATCTTGTTTTCTTTACCTCCAAGGTTTAACAATCTCTATAATACTTACAATGGATGATTCTTGAGATTGTTAAGTCGCTGCAGGTACTTATCACGGAATTTATTTGCCCTTTCTCTACTGTCAGGAATATTGGGTTGGGAGTTGATGGCACAATTCACAAAACTTCCTAATGAACCTTCAAAGCAGGACAACCAGTAGTCTCTAAAATAAATGAGGAAACAATTTATTCTGAAAAAATTTCCATGAAATATTTGCAATTTTTCTACAACAGTTAAACTATAATCTTGTTCCGAGATGTTTTATTACTATCAATGTAATTTTGTTTTTAAATATTTATATAGTAGATGCATATAGTATGCTCCTCCAGTGTATAGGCAACATTCACATTGCAATCTAAAGTTTTTCACTGAAAAAGATAAAAAATAAAATGTAATACTGCAGACCCCAATTGTCTTAGAGGTAATTTACAAATAGGAATCTTTGCAAATCTCAAGAATCACCAAAATATTTACAGTATCATAATATTCACAACTGAAAACAGTAAAGTCTCACCAGACATGATACATGCAAAGATCACACACAACTCTTCTGTCTTAAAAAAAAGATACAGTATTATATATTTTCATATTGAAAAATACATTGTAGAATATACCTGGCTTCTTTATCCTTCGTGAGGTCAACAGCATCAGGCACATACTCCTCAGGGTGAGCCAACAAGGGGAAGAATGTAAGCTGCTGGTCACACCGGTCAATCTCCAGCTGGTCTATTGTTCCCCCTGGCCACCCACCCACAGGAGGGTGAGGCAGAGGAGACTGCAGACCAGATGATCCCGCATAGTTCTCACCCCATGAGTATTTTTCTGTGTCTGCATAAACTGAAGTAGTTATAAATCTGCATTTATTCTTAAACATTACAAAATACTGAACTCATGAAACCAAAACAGAAATGATTGGGCAAGTGATTTATGGTTTTTGATGTTGAGTAAACACTTGCTATTCCCTGCCACCCCACCATCTGCCTCCCCACCACCCACCTCCTCACCATGTGCCACCCCAACACCCGCCTCCCTGCCACGCGCCTCTCCACCAACCACCCATTGCATCACTCTCTTCCAACAGTGATCCTAATGATCTCCCTATGCTTCAGTAACCAGATTTCATCCTACTGAACAGTACACTTCATCAAGCTCCAAACTTTCACATTTGAAGGTAAGTAGTATAGAAGTGCACTAAGGTAGTATGTATAAGTTGCTATTCGCGGTTTTGCCAATTTGCGCCATTCCTAGTAGGTAGTAGGCAGTTATCAAACAGGGAGGTACTACCGCCTGGGAAAATATTGGAAGCATAATGTGTTGTCTAATGGGAGACTCTGCTGCCATATGGCATCACAAAAATTGTGATCAAGTTCCAGGTTGCTGATCTGACTTTCTGCCACATTTACACACAATTGCAGGGTCTCAATTGTTTCTCTTACTATTGACAATACAACGTACATATAGCAAATCATTTCTCACTCTTGACATTTTTTATTCAGTTTTGCATTTACGGTTCTTTATTATTATTATTATTATTATTATTATTATTATTATTATTATTATTATTATTATTATCATTAATTTATTTATATTATCAATTTTCATTTATTTTTGTTAATTAATATTATTATATTTTTCCCCCCCCCCAGACCCAAATGTGGGTCAATGACCTGTGCCCGGGTGAGCTAATCCATGTGTTAAAAAAAAAAAAAAAAACCTATGAATAGCAATGGTTTACTGTACACTACTCTTGTTGACAAAAAGAATTTGGCAGGGAGGGAGGTGTTGTATGGAAGGGTAGAGGTAAGTGGAGAGTTGCATAGAGGGTGATGTTAAAAGTCTGCAATTTTCTTTTTAACACCATTTCTTTTTTTTTAATTATGAGGCAGCCACAGCTTAAACTAACATGTGCTGTAAACTAAAACAACCACAAAAATGACGCAAAAAAAAATAATGTTCGAGGAGACTTTTCACCGCCATCCCAATGTGACATTCCCAAGTCCCCACCAACAGCACTACTCTCCCATATACCGCCTCCTTCCAGCCCTGCCAATTTTTTGGTCCACAACAGTACACTGGAAGATAAAATGGATCTAATCACAGATAAAACCCTAAGATCTACTAATATGGAAAGTCTACAAAGCAGTATTGTAAATATATGTTCTCTTTCTAAACTAGTTTTAACAAGGAATCACATACATCAGGGAAGATCAATACAGTTTTGTCCATTAATTGGTCACTAGATCCCAAGCTTCAAGAAATTTCCCGAGAGAAATTAGAGCTGAAGATAGGGGACAAAGTAACAGTTTAATCTTACAAGTTTGACATTCTTGAGTCTGATACTGAGACAGACACTGACCACGATATGGATGAATAGATCATATTCATTGAATCCAGTATTTTGAAAATTAGGAAGTACCAATTCAATCTTGACACAAGAGAGGCTAAAAATGCTTGAAGCTGCAGGTTAATGGAAATTTGAAGGAAGTACTGTACTGTACTGTACTGTATAACATAAATATAACATAATTAAGAAAGGAAATTGTATTTAGAAAAAATAAAATGAAAGGAAAGAAATAAAGGGTCAATAAACAAGAATGGATTGATAGAAACCTACAGATTTTACATAAGTCAGCAAGACACAAACGCTCACCCCATGACCTACAATTAACCAACCAGTACAGAAGAAATTTTTAACTCGTACAGTACTTACAAATTTTATTCATAGACAAATCTGGGCATTTCACTATGTTATGCAGGAAACACAAAATCTTTACACCAATGTTTAACTCTCAATTCAGTTAAAAAAAAATTCTACACTGCCTAATTGCAGCATTTTCAGTGATACAGAAGTTACAATAAACTGTTTTTGGATTACTGTATCTGGCACATGTCATATTTGAAATAATAAATACAAATTTCTCACTACAAACCTTTTCATAGTGATTCTATTCACTTTATCAACATATCACAGGAATCACTGATGATACATCTGTGATTTGCATAACTATAAGAGTTGCAATTCAGTACCTTACTGTTTTATAGTGACATACTTTAAGAGTAGCTAAGATGGTTAATGACAAGATAAATAAATTATGTGCTATTTCATCAATGACAATTAATGTACAGCACTGAAATAGTTTTTATAGTTCGTCAATGCATTAAAAACCGTGGGAAGACAGCAAATGTGCTAACAAAATATGTACTGTACTGTATTAACATCACTTTGAAAAGCAATTATTTAGAACAAAACATTACTTAGGCATGAAAAGAAAATAATTTTATTATAGCTTGTAGCCCAAACAAAGTCAGACAACAAGATATTCTATGAAGTCTGGAAAATAAAATCCTGCTGTTAACACTTCTATATGTCACCTCGTGTGGTTCCCATTTTTGTTATAAGGAGTTTGCCACCACCAAACAATTGTTCAATAAGAATCTCAACCAAATCTTGCCTTTCTCTATTTCATTTACCCAGACTATATTTACCCACTAACTCTTCCTCTCCAATCTGTCTTATCCCCATACTGTACTGTATAGGCATTCCACTCTCCAGTACTGTACAGTAAGCTAAAAGACTTCCTTGACAAGTGCAGTTCTCGCTACCCTATTTAATATATAAGAATATTCAAGCCATAAAGGTTTTCATTGTTATATATCTCACTAGAATTAGTCCACAAATTGTCGACAAAGTACAGAATAGTACACATTCATGGAACCAAGTCAGTAATTTTTAAGTACGTAATATAAAAAGCTTAGCACAGTGTCCACAATGGTTCCTAGTTTTTTATCACTGTAACTTCTGTCTGACTTAACAGTCTACGGTACATACTAAATACTGTACATACAGTTCTTACCACACTCTTCTGCCCCTTGCAGAAATGCTCCTATGGCCCCAAGGTATCCTTCGTGTCGTAAAAAGAGAGCCTGCACTGCTCCACGACTCCAGTACTTAATAGCAAAGCTGATAGTGTGCATACTGACTGGGTGGTTCCGTAAAAAGTAACCACCAAAGTACACCTAAAAAATAAATAAATAAATAAATACAGTGCCATAAACATACAATATACAAATAATGTTTCATTATATAAAATTACATAAACAAAAAACGGTGATGTAATGGTAAAGATAGTCTTCAGTATACATATAGGAAATGAATTACTGTACATGTAATCACTATCTCAAATGTATTACTATTTGAGACCTTTCACTCAAACCTTATATAATTTTAAAAAGGTTTCCAGAATATTTGTTTTTGGACACTGAAAATATTTAGCTGCCAGGTCTAAGAGATATTACAGACATAAGAAAAAGTATCCTTCTCATACTGCAATTATATATAACTTACGTACTCAAATAGGACACTTTACCTTCTTCAGGCCATGGAGCATTGCATAAAGAGAAGCAATCTGTCCAATATCATTGCTGACAGTAAACAATAGACTTCTTGCAATGTCTGCCTCTGAAAAACCTGTGGATTGTAAATAAAAATGAGAGATAATTTAAAGGGAAAAAATACCAGGTAACAAATAATATAATTAATCTCGAGTTGCTTTACATTAAACCATATCAGTTAACTCATTTTCAAGCAAGCAGTAATATCCTTCACTCGTGAACATACTCCAGTATACTGTACACATTTTTTATTTTCCAACAACATGTTTCAAGAAGTAAAACTATTTAGGAGAGCAAGGAGCAGCTTAGCTTATGATTATAATGTCACTTACCGACCCATACAGTATACAACATTTGGTTCTTAATAATAAATGCTTTCCACAGTGATGAAGTCTTGGGCACTGTATCATTAACATAACTTATATGAAATACTCCATTATCTATTCATGAGTGTGAACTGTAATTTGATAAGCACTAAACTCAAGGTGAAATAATCATCTGTCTACTTCAACTATAATATAAAATGCATATTACACACCTCAAATTAAAATGTGTAACTAATTATCCATCAGATATAAAGCAACAAATGCAACAGCGATATTCAGCTTATACAATTAATAACTCTTACATTATACAAAAGAAGCAACAAAAATACATCTCTATTACAAGTGATGCTCTGTTTACACACAGTAAGTTTACTATTTTCATAATCATAAGAGGCAGCACTAACGCACCAGAATCACCATCAGCTTACAAATATTCTTGAGACTTGTGATATCATCAGAAGCAAATGGTTTGAAATGTTCCAGTCACATTCTCTACACCTTAAAAGCAAAGAGTAATTCAAAAAGCTGCAGATAGGCTTTCCTACAGTGTCACTGAGTTACTACTTTTCCCCTTTTTCAGAGCAAAGACCACAGTTTTGAAGCTTTGTGTGGCTAATTTCTAAGAAACTTGTGCTTTAGAGTTTCAGTGATAAAGACATGGGTTGTGATGCTTTCAGATAATATAAAGTTAAATCTTCTCTTCACAGGATAGATCATTAAGTACAATACTTAGTTCAGCCACAACTTGTTCTACAAACTGTCGTCCATTGACTCAACTGTTCCCTCATACCTCTTGAGTGCCTGGCCAGGTGACATTTCATGCACTTATCATCTGTGGCCAAAGATACCCAGAAATTGTAACTTAATTACATATCAGTTCACAAAAAATCTGAAGTAAATACATGGAGTCCCTGAGTTACGAACGGATTACGTTCCTGGACCCTGTCCATGAATCGATCTGTTCATACGTAAGAACAGTGTTAATTCCATAGGTTAGGTTAGGTTAAAACACAACCCTGCCCACCCAAAACAACAATAATATCCCATACATAACAAATAATGTAAATTCTGTAAAGAAAGTGATGTTGAACAATATAAAGTTTTATAAAAAATAACATTTTAAATTACATTTTTGTGATAAATATATTGGGATCCTATTTGTAAGATTGGGTTTTGTAAGTCAAGCGTTCGTAACTTGGGGACTACCTGTTCATGTTCACTATATATTACAGGTGGTAGTGTCAAATTCAAATATTATTAGCCAAAGAATTGTTTAATGGATCAAAAGTAAAGTGAATATATGTTTTAGAATCACAACATTAAAGTTAAGGGTTATGAACTTGTGATATAAAACTATATTAACTAATAAGAAGACAACAAAACCTATTCTTAACTATATAAACAGCCTCAGAAAGATACTGTACTACGGTACATATTGGAAGGAGCAACTCCTTACAAAAATAAAAATAAAATGAGTGATTGATCCTGAAATCCCATTCCATGATCACAAGTGGGCATATGGCTCCTGATAACAGGTCTTGCATGACAGAGCCATTGATTACAGAATCATATCCCATAAATACAGCACTGGTTACTACCATCACTTCAGGTGCTGCACTCCCTATGTCCTAGATACAGTACAAAGCTCTAAAATGCACTGAAGAATACTTATAAGAGTCATCAAAGAAGCAAAACTGGTAGAGTTGATAACTTCAAAATGGTAAAATAGGAAAGAAGTAAAATACAATGTTTAGTAATATTGTTTCACTGAAATTCAGTTTGATTGACCGACAACAAAGAGAGATTTTCCAGATTTCAGAAGTTTAATTGTGAGAAATAAAGCTGAGCAAGTAAAAAAAATCACCAAAAGTGATGGCAGCTATGAGAAAAATAATGAAACATTTACAACTTAACTTACCGGGGGTTAACATGGATCAACAGCATTATACAAGCTGGTGTAGAACATAGATGCTAGGAAAGGTTTCCTGACAAGTGAATTGTGAATCAGTTCAAAAGACAAAGAAGGAATAATGAAAAATAAGAGGAACATACAATTTTGGGGAAAGAAACTGTAAATGAAATAAAATAGGCAGCTAAGGAGAGCCTTTAATAAAGACAAAATATCTTATCAAGATACAGTATATGAACATGCAAGAAGGATGCAACTATGAGCCAATATGAGCTACTACACTAAGTGTGCTGGAGAAGATCTTCCATACCACTGGACATACCTGGACTGTCATCATTTTTTGTGTGTCCATGATGCATAGCCTTGCCAAAACTTGAGGCTATAATGCCTCCAGTCAAGCCAAGGGCACTGTAGTCACCTCCTAGAAGAGAAAACTTTTCTTAATGATTCTTTTCCATTACCTGGTGATAGTGATCAGAATTATCACCAAAGAAGAACATTACAGGTTGTACCTCTCTAGTCCGGCATTCTGTGGTCCGGAAACTCCCGTGGTCCGGAACGATTTTAGTTTGTCCAATAGGTAGATAGACATTTTTTTTTTTTTTTTTTTTATACTTATCTGAATTATTATTATTATTACAGGAGTATTAAATTTTTGCCCCTCAGGCCCCAATGTGGGTCAGTGACCTATGCCCGGGTGGGCTAATCCCCTTAAAAAAAAAAAAGCCGCGGGAAATTAAGGTTTGTTTACATCCGGCAGTTCGGCTGCTCTCTCTCTCTCTCTCTGCTTGTCTATACAGAGTACAACATTTAACCCTTCAATATATATGAGCAGTAAATAAGTGTTGCTTTCATATTCTTATGTAGAGTAATGACGATATATTTTCACATGTGCGCACTTACATACGAGCAGTCTCACTTTTTTTTTTACCATTAATGGTTAGCTACTTATATTGTTCCATTTATTAACATTAAATAACATTACAGGTACTTCAAGCAACCATATTCATTTTTTACATTAATTTTACTACAGCTAAACTCAGGGTCTTATTTTCTTCAGTTTTATATGTAGAACCAATCAGTCACTGGTTTCGTAAGCTTTAACATAAACAATGCCGGCAGCCGTCTCGTCTCCTCTAATATTCCACGTATTATTAATAAATTGTATTGTTAATTTTGCACACACGTACATTAATTAAAAAAAAACAAATTCAGAAACATTAATTAAAATATATATGAACAGTAAATAAGTGTTGCTTTCATATTCTTATGTAAAGTAATGATGATATGTTTTCACGTGTGCGCATGCGCACTTACATATGCGATCTCTCTTTTTCTTTACCATTATCGTTAGCTACTTCTATTGTTCCATTTATTAACATTAAATAACACTACTTAAAACAACCATATTAATTTTACTACAGCTACAACAAAGGTCTTATTTTCTTCAGTTTTATATGTAGAACCAGTCAGTCACTGGTTTTGTAATCAACGAAAACAATGCTGTGTCATTTCCTCGTGTGTTTTAATATTCTACGTATTATTAATGAATTGTATTGCTCATTTTGCACACATAAACATTAATTCAATAAAAAAGACATTCAGTAATAATAAAACACATAAGAGAAATGATACACGATTATGCACGTTGCACTGTTCAAACCCGTCGAAATTCAAGTTTCCGCCGTCAAAATTTTTATTTATTTATTTTTTTGTGTGTTCCAATAAAATACGTTAAGAATTAAAAACTCGCGAAATTTGAGAAGCTACTATACGACATTTAACCCTTCAATATGTCTTCAAAGAGACCATGACGCAGAGAAAGTGGTGCTAGTGCTTCCAGGCATAAGCACAAGTCACTATCTATCCAGGAAAAGGGTGAATTTCCATGGTCCGGCAATTTCCATGGTCCGGCACCGGTCAGGTCCCGAGGTTGCCAGACTAGAGAGGTACAACCTGTACTTCTTTGTTACATTTTAAATCCTTCCCTGGAAACTTATATCAATTGTATTATAGTTTCATCATGCAGTATTAATTGTAAAAAAAATTACTTCAACTCAGTGACTTATTAAGCTCATAGGTTTGTTTAGTTAATAAAAATATTTGAATGCATGAAGAGATAAAGTAAATGACAAATACAGTATATTTTCCAGTATTGTACTGTACTTCAAACAAATAATATATTTTGTTCTATATCTGAGGGTTACAAGATGCTCACCATATATATCCTTGACAAGTAAGTCAACATTGCGATGGTCCCCTTCACTGGCCAGCTGCAGGAGTTCATCAAATCCTTTAGCCTTAGTTAGTAATGAGCCAAGTCCCCAGAACGTTCCACCACCCATACTGGTACCACCAATTCGTTCGTATTTGTCATCTGCTTCAACCTGTAATGTAAATAAAATAATTATTTATCTCTATAAACACTGTGAGGGTTAAATTTCAAATTAAATTTATTCTGTACAACACACTAAGACATAAACTCATAGTTATAATACTCAGATCTTTGTTTATTCATCAGTATATTTGATAGCATTGTTAAATTACATCATTACCTGATTGTTTTCACAAATCTGTGAGATATTTTCCTTCATGGTGATACACATCTAATTTTAATATAATGTTTAATCACCACATAGTTGTCATGTAACAAAATACATTAGTAACTACTAAAATCCAATGTAAAATCTTATTCATCATTTATAACTAAATTTGTATCGGTAGTCTTTCGAACTTTTGCATTAAATTCCAATGCTAAAGAAAGTTTCATGTATCAACAAGTATTCCATGAAGCACATATTACGCAGTGCCTCGGGTAAAAACAGGCCTGTGGCTAGTCTTTGAGCTAATACTAAGAAAATTCATAATCAGAATAAAAAAAAATAATAATTTACTGACAAGTGATTGTGAAGAAAGATCTATCCTTTTATTCAGAAAAAACTAAGATGACACCACAAAAACAATCAAATATAGACACTACTGTGATCCTTTTTCAATATCAACAATTCATTAATAACCACAACATAGAATGGAGGGGATTAATGAGACAAAAAATAATAATTATCTTACTGTACCTTCATAATGCTAACACCTGAACCAATATTGACCAAAAGGTATGGGAATATGTTTGGCTCAGTGTTAATAAAGCGGTACTCTGGGTCTTCATGTCGACTGTAAGAGAACTGCTCGTCAGGGATGTTTCGAAGCAGAAAGTTGCACCCCTTAATCAGGCTACCAATCTCATCTTCCTTTTCCACCCTGCATGATGGAAAACATAAAATACTGTAGAAATCAAATAGGTAGTAGGTAGCTACCAAACAGGGAGGTACAACCTCCTGGGAAGATATTGGAAGCATAATGTGTTGTCTAATGGTAGACCCTGCTGCCATATGGCATTACAAAAATTGTGACCAAGTCCCAGGTTGCTGATCTGAATTTCTGCCTCATTTACACACAATTGTAGGGTCTCAATTGTTTCTCTTACCTTGACAACACAACATACATACACTTAGATTGTTATTACAGTATTTTATCCTATACTCAAATTACACTTACGTTAATCCCAGCTTTTGTTGAATTAACTCAGCATACTTATAAGCTCCACCACCTGTTGCCTTTATGCTCTTCCCAGCCATGGATTCCTTACTGAAGACGAGGTGGTTCCGTATGAAGTCTAGGCAGTGTTCAATGTACTTAGTTTCAAATTTGACAAAGTGCAAGCGTTCTGTTTCAGAGCTCTCGTACTGGTAGTCATCTCCGTCCACCTGGAGATTAAGAGAAAATTTATAACTAAAAACTACAGACATGTTCTAAGATGTTCTTCATTAATTGTTATTATTGCTGAAGTACCACAACAACAAATTAACTTTCAATTACACCTTCTCTCACACATCATTATTTATTTTCAAAAATAATCATAATAACTCATGTCAGAATTAAAGTGGTACAGTGGAAGCTCAATAATCTGGCAATTTTGTTCTAGAATTTTCCAAAAACCAAGACAATTTCAAAACAGTCATAAATTTTCATATCCAGTGAAACAATGGAAACATCGAACACCCAGTACTGTACCTGTAGTAGTTCTCAGTACTGACGCTCTGTCGTCTAGTGCTGCAACTACCTGTGTTCTAGCCCAGGAACTGATGTTATAATTTATTACAGGATTGCGCTTCAAAATTACTAAAGTCTTAAATAGCATATTCAAAGTTAGTAAATATACGAACTCATAAACAACTAAAATTTAAGAAAGATACATCTCTCTGGTTGTTCAGTGGTTCTTGTGAATAAACTACTGTACTGTAGTTGTATTAATGGAAAAATCCAATATGCAGTAGTTCTGTATAACTAAATGATCCATTTCTCTCCAATAAATGTAAAACTGACAAATGTCTGAGAATGTCAATGGATGGCTACCAAACCAGGGTCAGCACTCAATACCTCAGGAGACAAGAACATCTACAACTGCCCAGTTTATTCTAAAGAAGAAAAAAAGCAATTTAACTTAAGTTTATAAGCATTTAAAAGGTTATTACAGTATTGTATTGTATTCTGTCAAATACTGTATACTGTACCTGGTATATATCTGGAGGTAGTGGACAGATACCACACTAGAGGTAACCAGGTGCCTGTACAGTACTTATTACGATAAAGAAGCTATCAGTACAGAAAACTATCAGAACTAACTGCTTTAAAGTACGTAAGAATTACAAATCCTTGGAATAACCTGCAAGAGAATGTTGTGACAGCTACAAGTGTGAGCTTGGCAAACATTGGAACACATTCCGGTATATTTAAGAACCCATGCATGCCTAGTACTTGCCAACAGTACACAACAGAGAACTGACCACTCACTCACTAAATAATAAGATGATAAGTGGTGAAGAGGAGAGAGTAAAGTATATACAGTACAGTTGTGATCTGTGTACAGGTACACTGTCCAGCCATTACATTGCCCTCATAATCACTCCTACTAAAAGACTAATGCCCTGTGATAGGCGTTGTGATGCTGGAGAGACAAAATAATGAGCTTTAATATTTTATTTCTATATTTTATATAAGGTACAGTACAGTTTTTATAATACACTATAGGTTCCTGTACATTTTGCTACTCGTAAAAAGATCCAATTTCATTAAATACCCGGTAATTACTTGGTCTCACCCATGCCAGATTATTAGGGTGTCCCTGTACTGTACAATACTACATAATGGATATATATACAGTAGCTAACTATTGAGAATGCTTTCCCAGAGTCATGATAATACTTACTGATGCAGCACTGTCCTTTTCTGCATTATACCTGTACAAGACCTTCCTGTGAGACACGGTAGAATAGTAGGCAATCTTGGTCAGTGAACCACCTGAGGGCAAATAATGGAAATCAGGAAGACAAAATATTATTGATTCCATAAAACAATTCTTTTGATATTATCTGTTCAATCCATCTGTAAAAAAAAAAAAAAAGCTATATACATACTTCCTGGTGCACATAACACACACATATTTCCTGATATCATTACAGTACATACCTTCAGTGCTTGATTCGTTAACTAATTCAATGACTCAACATGTTACACATAAAATATCTTATTGAGTTAACAGTGAAGTTTTACTCTTGCTATCATATCAATGCCAAAACAAAATAGCTACTGGGTTTCTTAATATAAATATCTTTATGATCAAGGCTAACAGAAATCCACACATAGGGAATGCAGATCCAACCCACACAATTTTTTCAACAAGTTCTCCACCACCACCCAAACTAGTGCACAAGTCTAAATCCTATCAAGTAGTATTACAATAGGGTAATATTTGGTTTCTTGCACAAATACTTTTATATTAGTGTACAGTACAGTATATACTTCCTACATCTATGTAAAAGTTTCATCACAGACCCTCAAGCAAACCGGCAATGATATTTTTAGGGGAATCTTCATATTTAATCTTATGTTTAAAACACAAATCTAGAAAGGTTGCAAGAAAAGGGTGAATCTGAAAATAGCATATGAGGCACACCACAAGAACCATTCAAACCTTTAGTCACTTCAATATAAATAATAAGCAATGCCCACATTTTCTTCTAAGGCTTTTGAATGGTTGGAGCCACCCATGCCTGCCAAAGATTTTGAATCCATTTGGCCATCAGTTGAATGTCAGTACCTGTATTGTATTGTTTTTATTGTCCACTCTGTACCTGTATTTTTCTGGCTAAATAAACTGTTTCAATATCAATATCAACACATAGCTATCAACATATACAATATTTTATAATTGCACAAAATTACTTTGTTTTAAAATATTTTCAATCCTTAAAGAAAAGTATGAGATTAATGCAGTCTCAAAACAGAAGTCTCAAGTATTATCTTTATCAATGCTAGAAACCTTTAAGAACCTTTAAGCCCTTTTAAACCACTGTTAATCTTACCAATCAAAAGAAAACTGTCAGGGATAATGGAACAAATATCCTCTTCGTTATTGGTACCAATGTAGCAAAAAAAAATTTTTAAATAGTAAAGTGCCGTAGAGTATCTGATCACTACCACATTACCTTTGCTGTTACAGCAGCCAATCATAAAACCCTTCAAGCAAATGCATAAATAGATATACTGTACAATACAGTATATGTAGATTCACCTTATGAATATATAAACTAAACCCTAAGATCATTAGGTTAGGTTTAATTGGTTCTAAAATTTCCCCAGGAATTCTTCTCACTCATTTTTGTCATTATTCCTCCACTAGATTTATATCTTAAGCACTAGAAAAAACCTTTAAGTGAAAATCCTATAATGAAAGCATCAAAACAATAATGACAGAACTAAACATTTAGTACTGTACGTATACCTACTGCTAAATAATATCAAGCCATTAAGGAACTCATTATACTATACACTATATACCATCGCAGCAGACACCAATACAAAATCCTAAAATTACTTGACTTACAGGGTAACTTTACATAACAGTCTAACACTGATTACTTCCACCAGTGAGTAAAAGTACAACACCCACATTCAATATTTATCATGCATATGAATAAAAACATTCAAATATGTATGATTTTAATATCCAACAATACCAGGTGAGTGCTTCATCGATAGCCACTTACATCACAGATCCTCCAGTCTTTCTAAGTAATTCCTACTATTATAAAATTATTACACCAATCAATTTATCCTCCTTTATAAATAATTCAACATCTCTAAATGATCCAAAACAACTTATCTTGACTGAACCAAACCTTTACTTACACTATCTTACTGTACCCTGTACTTAGGCCTAACATCTTCACCAACTCTGCTCCAACAAGGCTTAAATGCTAAATTACATCCAACATGGCTTTACCTTATAATTAAGATCTCATTTTCCTTTAGTCAACCCTAACCTCATCCTACCAAACCTAGCGTAACAACAGCTGCCCTAGAAAGATCGGACATTGCTCATGACCATGACCCATGTACAGCATCGTTACCCTGATACAGAATTTCTTCTTACGCCAAGAATCACACAATTTATTACCAATGTCGATTGCAAAACGCTTGGCATTTTTGATGTTCCTAAATACGACATCAGTATCAGGAAGAAGTATGCTGCCAGCGTACTTCTGGGCCTCCATGTCTGGTGTAGAAATGTCTGGCAGTTCACCGAGGGATTTGTTTATCTCCATCAGCTGACCGGCGGCGGCGCGGCACCATGCACATTATATATCACCAATCCACGTGACACAAAAACCACCGTTACTCTAATTAGCTCTTAGAATATTATCTGATAATAAGACGTTTTCCAATCGGTAAATTCAATATTGAAACTGTACAATTAAGACTCCATTTCAGGATCAGTAAACACTGCGCACTCTGTTAGCATTGTAAGTCAGCGACAACATATTCTTAAATTTACAAAGAAAATGTGAGTGTTAAAACAACAATCTGTTTTCGGTCAAAGTAAATAATATTTCGCTAAAGTAAATACTCTGTATAAGCCTTATACACACACAGTTTCATGACACAATTGTTTGCAGTAATATACAATGTAAATGCAGTGGAAGGGGAAGTGCAGAATAGAAGTTACTCACGTAGCAGAAGTAAAAAACGAGAACTAAAGATGAATAATGAAAGATATGGAACTCAATGAAAATCTAACGACAAGGAAGAAACCGGAAAATCATCAATAAAATGTAGCTTCATGGTCTTGATGTAAAAAAAAGGGGGGAAGATGCTGGTTATAGAAATTAGTACACAAAATTATAAATATTTAAGAATTAAGATCCAGGGGGTAACTGAAGCATTAAGAGAGAACATAATACAAAGAAAAGTGGGCACCTTGGCGTTAGTAGAACAATGTAACAAACCGTATCGTGGTAAATATAACAAGGGAGAAAATGTCTATTATGCATTGGAAATTACAGAGAGAAATTAAATTATGTCAATGTTTGTAGAATAATGGATGAAAAAAGAGGAATTACAATAAACAGGATTAAATCGAGTTGGATATGCAGTAGCAAAAAGAAGGCATAAAAGGCATAGAATGGTAAAAATAAAAGAAATAATGAGACAACGAAGGAGCAATGACCGAGTGAACACATTATAAATGAGAGACGTGATAATTGGAAGGATGAGTTGGACATAGTAAAGGTCAAGGAGAGTTACTGTTAGTGACACGTCAAAGGCTTTATTCCATAGTTTGGACGTTCTTAGTAACATCATAGCACATAAACACCTACCAGTTATCTTACTTGAGCTTTCGGTTTCGACTACTTTTATTCATTTGTCTTTTACTTTATTTTTTGTTTATCTTTATTTTCTTTTACGGTAGCTGTATGTATGTTAAAAACTATATGCTATGAACTCTAAGGAAAAACAAATAATGCTTAGAATGTGCTACCGCACATCAGGGTGGTATTCCCAGCATTTCTACAGATATGAGCAACTCTATATTTTTTTTTCTTTACGACTCTCACTTAATCTAGGGGTGCTAGGGGAGAAATGTCGTTGGATAAACAGCAATGGAAACTGTATACCGTCACGGTCTATGTACAGCACACCGGATAATACCTTACCTGAATTGTCTTCCTGGGGGGTGCTTCAGTAGACTCCGGGAGTGGTTGTTGCCGCGAATTCCCTTTTCCACGCTCAGGTTATTCTTCTGATTGAATAGCTCAGTCAGTCCCTTTGATAATTTAATTTAATAAAATTTGTCGAATAAGATAAACGAACGAAGAGTGTGCTCTTTCAGCTACGTTTCGTTAGCCCAATTGCTGCTGTTACTGATCCTATTGCCCTTAGATTCTACAAAAAAAAATTAGATTCAGAATAGGTTTCCGCCAAACAGAATGTTCCATTATCTTATTTTGATGAATTTACTGTGTTTGGGTGGGGTGCAGAGACCAACTAGCAATCGCCCGCCTGTCCTAAAGGACGCTGGTTCGATCCCATGGTAACCCTAGTCCACCCAGCTATTATTATACAGAGTGCTACATCCACATGTGCCAGCAGGCCTATTGGACCCCCTTTCACAATGAACGGTAGCTTTGGAGAGAGAGTGAAGGGGGGGGGATGTGAAAAATGGAGAGGGATGGGCTGACGGAATGGATTATCCCAGGCCAATTTGAAGAACAGACTACTGGAGATCCATTGGACTATAGTAAATTTATCTAATGCACATGGAGAGTCAAGAACAGTACAGGGGGAGGTCTAGAGAGAGACGGGAGATTAGAGAGAGGTGAGAAGGGGTGGTCAGTCAGGTTAAGTTACAGGATCCACCACAACATCTGGCAGGGGTGGAACAGGAGCTCGAGTTTTCAGAGTTTGTACGTTAATTTTACCTCGTAAATGGAGTTGTGAGATAGCTTCGGATTAGTTAACCGACACAATAATTGTCCTTAAATTATCCTCAAAACTGCACTGAGAGTATCGTTCTTCTGTGGACATTTAAGAAAACAGCATGGATCTTTGGACGTACAGTACGTATTCATGGCCGGGCCACAGTAGAAATGAATATGTTAAATTTTTACAAGAACTTGATCGCGAAGCCACTTATATTTCAAGCGACACAAACCACATAAACCACTCCTACCTTACTCGTAACTATCCAAACTTAAACGAAAGTAAACTTTAGTTGTTCCGTTAGGTTTAGGTAACACGTTAAAAAGGATATTTAAATTTCTTTCTCGAGGCATTACTCTAAATTTGGTTACCTTACTACGAGACAGATCACTCAGACGGACTCGTCTAATTATTCATATTCTATCAGATTATTTTTATGATAGCCTAAAATATTCTATAACCATAATTTTCGAATATCCGTGTTCAATGGAGGCGATAACTGTTGCCAACCAGATTCAACAGCACAGATTCTTTTATATTGGAGTATTCCTCGTTTATTCTGGCTGTGTGCTGCCCTACAAATGACACACTATTCCTTAAAGAAGTAGTTATTTACAACTTTACAGCCGCTGACTTTTCACAGAAAACGAATTTCAAAACGCCGCAATTTCATTGTTTTTTTATAGTGGACACTGTCGAAGTTATGGAAAATGTGTTAAAAAGTTATTTCTAAATTAAACCTAACCTAATATTAATCTAATTCTATAATGATGGCCCATGTCTGTCAATGTTAAGAAAATCGATAAAACTAATATTACAATGAACGTAGTATGATATTTTCAGTGAAATACTCTATTGTTGGTAACTTAGAATACGCGCTTAATAACATTAGTTGTTGAAGCACAGTTAATATATTTCAACATTGACAATGCCACTCAGTCACAAGTTACAGTTACGTTCAGCAATCATAAGCAGACATAAGAGGGAGGTTGTGCAAGATTGAAATTGCACTCCCCATTATCCTTTTATTGGTAACCCCAAGTCTGTAAGATCCGGCATTAATCATTTGTAATACTGTACCATATCTCTCTCTCATTCCGACCTAAATTTGTTTAGTAATATTTGTTTATAATCTATTATTATAGGCTTGTTGTTAATAATGAAAAGTAAGATTGATAAAACTTAGCAGCCAACTGGTGGCCAAACATTGTGGATACGAACCCCCGTCAAGTTTCATTGTACTTGTCATTGTTTTTAAGGTAAACTTTAAGACAAATACACGATCTGTATTTTGAATATTTGACCTACAAGATTTTTTTATTCGTTCAAAAATTACTTAATTCCCTGGAGGGGTTATCTTGTACTGTCTTTTATACTGAAAAGCCGTTTTCAGATTACAGCACTCAATAATATATAAATAAGTTTATTAAGTGAAAAGGAAAACATAAGCATGATGTTTATAGGTCTAGCCACGTCTACCCTTCCTTCGCTTTTCATCCAAACACTTGTAGACAAAAGATGTTTAAATTTTGTGTATATTGAAATTAAATTCAATAATTTACCGTGTGTATTTAAAACTAATTTCCTCTTCAAACTTGATATTTATTGCCTGAATATCAGCATGTGTATCAGCATCGTAAATCAGTCACCTGCCTCCGTCACCATCAATGCTACTACTCCATGATACAGTACTGTACTTGTTATTTTTTTTAATTAACGCCTATAATTGCAATCCTTTTGAGGGAAATTTAACGAACAGGGGATAATTAACGCCTATAATTGCAATCCTTTTGAGGGAAATTTAACGAACAGAGGATCAAAATCCACCCCTAATATACTAATTAAGTTATTTACCCAGTTTTAGTATCATAATCTATCTAGCATGGCGAGACGAGAAAAACAATACAAACCAAGGTCGCTTTATTACCAGAAATACTCCATAAATTAGCCGCGCTGTATATGTATCATAAAACACCCTAGATAAGTATCCTCCAAATTACCATCATTTAATTACTATCATATTTATATATTTTAGTTTGTGTTACGAATACTGTATTTTAACTCAAGTTGGGCGACAGCTTGGACTGTGCATATCGGATCAAACAGATACAATTCCTTACATGCTGGTTTTTCACTTTTACAATATCAAATGTAGCGCCTTTAATCGCTTTCTTGAATCATTGAAAAGGTAATGTATTTGAAATGTCACCAGAGCTATTTCTCATTATGTCCAGTGCATGATTTAAGACTGAATATACTCATTTAAAGACTTTGTAACTGAAGCTAGTAATATATAACACAAACATACAGTAGAAGGTGTATTTAGCTACAGTGTGTGCGCTCATCACTCCTCACCCACCACCCCTGCTATGGCCTCGGCAACTTTCTCTTTTATAGTCTTTTTGTATCACCCAGTGTATGACAATCACCTCGAAATATTTTACTCACATCTGTATCTAAATATAGATTTCTCAGGATACGCATCTTTCAGGTGTTTTTGAATCGAAGTCAGGCATATAACTTCACGTCATCTGTAATATTAGTACAGTACTGTATTTCCAGAGTAAATTATATTAAATTGATTTACTTATATCCATGAGATTATCGATCCATATCCCACATAATTAACAAAACAGATTGTCTCTTCCTTAATTTTCGCCAGTTTTATGACTCTTGGGGCTCAGGTAAATGTCATTGAGGATTTCCTTGAAGATGGCCAGGTAGTCGTCCTTCCTCACAATATTCCAGTTTGACTGTGAAAGTCATTGTCAGTGTTTTAGGGCGATCTGTATGGGCGAGGGTGAGGAGATTCTCGACCAAGTCACCTCCTTTGAACAAACCGACAAAGGCATCGTGTGTACACCTCTCACCGTATGATACACAGGTCCACAGTATACCTACAGTAGAGTGATGGGCGTGGAAACCTTTCAGTCTTCCTGTTTTTTTTTATTTCCATTTGTCAACTTAATTTCGGTAAGATTTTTTTAACTGCTGCTTCAAATTCATACTAAACGAGTCTAAGGTGTCCTGCAGTACGATGGATGTTCGTCAATTCGTCAATGGTGAAGATTCAAGAACGTTGTTACTCTTACTCTGCTTTGACTTATCACGTTCACTCACGTTCACTTCTTTATTTTAAATTGATCTTCTTCCTCGTGTTAATTGACCGTAATTAGTTAAAAGATAAATTCAGAATAACGAGATTATTTTAATATAATTCTCTTCTCCAGCGAAACCGCGAAAATAATAAAATATATACTGTACAGTACCCAAGTTCAAGACACATTCATGGGAACGTTTGTGATATAAATTTATGAATATGTAGTAATTTGACAATACACAGCCCTCAGGAAACTGCTATGTAAGAAGTATAATTAAAGTTTAAAACCTAAATTATATTATAAATTATTAGAATAAATAGATAGCCTTACAAAATCCTAGTCATCAAACAAATAACTCTTGAGTATTATGAACGCCAATATCGAAAGCCAGAAGCTTATGAATGTAAAATTTGTTGTTTCAATAAAGACTTCGTTTACCATCATAGCATAATCAAATTATATTTTTATTAGATTCGGTTGGTAATGATGTTATTCATTTATAGGTTATAACTATGAAATTAATGTTTCCACAAAAAAATCAGTTTAAGTTTTCGAAAAGTTAGAAATTATAGATAACGTGTAAAAACCCTTATTTATATCATTGACTCAGAACAGTCCAATCTAATAGTTCTAGTTATGGAATGTTAGTAACGAGCAGAAACTGGAGAATAAATAATAAAACCATAAGATATTATCAGATATTCCATTATGTATTCACATGACAAAAATTATATTCAGTCATTTAACCACTGAACTTGCAAGAAGTCGCGCACAGAATTTCGACAATTTGCTATGGTGAAAGCCATGTATTATTTTTAAAAAGTAAATTGCAAACTGGTGCAAGATAACATTTTTGATAGGTATATGATGTATCGTTTGTAATGAGCTTAAATTACAAGAGAAATAAATATAAAACTTCAGCCGACTTTGGTACCTCAGATAACTGTTACGCGGTACCAACATTTCCCACTTGCTGGTCTGAAATCTTTTTAAAGGCGTTGCATAATAAATAATGCTCTCTAATATATAAAATTTATGCATTTAAACATTGTAATACTTTAAAACACAAGTAATTTAAAATGATTTCTATGAACAACCAGACCAATTTTAGTAAGTAAGCCACATATTTGGGAAGAACCGGTTGGCAGCCCTGCGCGGGACGGGGTAGTGTTGTTGTTTGCTATTCGTTCCCTCAGTGTATGAGAGTGACTGAGTGCGTGAGGAGGTGTTGTAAGTGATGGTGATTATTTTGTAATTAACCTGCAGAATGTCCAATCCAGCGCCCCCCAGGAGGACTGGGGCGATGAAGATACGCCTCACAAGTAAGTAAAAGTTTAGTAAGCTTGTTCATTGAGATTATCGCTGAGGAACAACATAATTGCCATGTCTCCTTCCCATGTTTCTTGGCTCAGCGGGTAGGAGTGTTGCCCCAAAATGGCTGGACATTCCTGTTCCCACGTTGGTTTCCTCATTTATCGTCAACCACAGTTAGTAGACGTGTATAAGAATGTCATGTATAGTGTGAGTACAGTTTAAGAAGTTTCTAATGTGTATAACAAGATCTTATCAGGCTAATGGTTGGATGAATCAAAATTGTTGGTTGATATGGTGTGCCCAACCCAAGGCTGCGACGTGGACTGGTGGCGGGGCATGTCAGGGGATATACACATGTAAGAGTTCGCTTTCTTGAATAATCATCAACATGCAGAATAGTGTTCGTGTGACGCTCTTGGCCACTTAAAGACGGTGAGACTCAAGTTTCGTTGTGTGTGACGTTTGTGGCATTTTGTATTTTACAGGATAATTGACCACATCGTTGGTTAATTTATGTAAAAAAAAAGTTGAGGGTTTGTTACACTGATGTTATATATTGTAGATAATGAATTTGTCGGAATGAATGTTATCTTTGTTAATTCACCCATTAACACCTAATATCGGCAATTCTGACTTTGGGTGGGTTTAAATTTTTTTTTATTAAGGCCTAGTGACAGCAGGTGTGTTTTACATGCACACGTTCATTTCTGTTGTTTAGGGTGGGTGCTGTTCTGAAGGTTTACCCCAGTATGTCACCGATTGTCAGGTGTTGGTTCATTAAATTTTATTACGGTTTTTAAGTAAATTAGGGAACTCACTTTGTCAGCCTTTACATTGTACGTCAATGTTGTTTTTTAGCACATCAATCATGACAGCAGACGAAACAAGCCAAGGTAACTAGCAGATATTATAATGTTTTAAGTGATGTGAACGTATCTCATTGAGGTAGCCTCAGTATAAGTTTGATTATTAGTTTTGGACCTATGTTGTGCTATAGTTTATCCACCAGTTGTGCGTATTGCATCACTTCCGAGGAACGTTCACCGAATGAACCTATTGAAAACAACCCCTTGCTCTGTTTGCCGGATGTAAATACTGTAGTGGTTTATGGAATAGTAAGACATATTAGGGGTTTAGATACAATCTGGTTAATACCCATCCACAAAATGCTTACGTTTGCCCCCATTGCCCTTATGCCTTCAAAGGACGTTTGGTGACGATCAACACTAATGCAGTATTTGATGAGATCCGGTACTCCAGTATAGTGTACACAGTATTTTATGCATTGTATTTATAATTTGTATATAATATTTCTTATCTTGAGTGTTACTTGGCTCAAGACACTGTCAAAACTTATTTACAGGATTTAATAAACAAATCGATGAAAAAAAATATCCATTATACGATTATATACTTTATTCATATTACTTTAAATATATTAGTGGATCTCACACCTTACTAATGCGATGGTCAATATACACAGTACACTCTGGATGAAATGATAAGTCTACTCTTCACTGTACAGTATTAGTAAAGGGATCAATGTACACAACGTTTTACGCCCATTTTCCACGTTTGCTTTGTATTTAACTGATTTACTAATTTGTGTATAGTACATTGTAGATGGAGTGATAATTAAACTAAGTAAATTAATATATTTATCTGTATGCAGTACCGATACACCGTATTTGTAGTGTCATAAAAACATTTTCACTGTGGATCTGACGTGAATACAATGGAGCAGATAGCCTAAGGTGCAGGAAGATAATCTAAGGTCTTGTGCGAGTTTTTTGTTTTTGTTGTTTTTGAGGTTTTGGCGTTATTGATCTCATTTGCTTGGGTGTTGTTTCTGGGGTCCAGCGTAATTTTTAGTATATTAAGGAAAGGAATTTATATCAGACTAATTAGGGTTAAGTTGGATTTGTTTCGCAAATTAATTGGACAAATTCAGTTATCGATTTTGAAGCAAGATACAGAGTTGAGACTTGGTAGTAATCAGAGTACTGTACTGTAGGTTGTGATGGCTTGACCTCACTAGAACCAAAATTGGTAATCCATTAAATAAATGATGCTGTTAGTATGCATCAAGTCATCATAACTTAAATTGGACCAAAATGGCTGCCAAGGTTTTAATCAATTTGGGTTATTTTAGTGAAAACTTGTTTAATAAAGTGTTGGGGGTCACTTAAAGGCTTATTTCAACTGACGATTAAACTCTCTTAACTAGAGTGGTAGGGTGTTTAATGCTCAGGTAAAAGAGCTGCAGTGCCTGATCGTCATGTGACTCGTCTGTACAAGTCACATGAGAAATATAGCCACGGGAAACAGTGATGGGCTCCTTGCTGTTTAGAATTGTAGAACAAAGCCACTTTATCCGTTGAGCAGGATATCCCCCCTCCCTACCCACATTTTAAGAGAGGAGAGGCTCTTTGAACATATTACAAGGCTCGACCCCACGAACATCAAGTTCCAGATCGATACATTTTTATTTGTTTTAAGTTCTCATGTGAGCAACGTTTCTAAACCAGAGTTCCGAAGAAATTATCACTTGCTTCGAGCAAACTCTGTAGATGAAGAAAATACAAGCATGTCTGTGTTTCCCGACGTGTCTGGTGAGCGTCGTGCCAGCCTTAATGTAAACAATAGCGGCAGCTCTTTGTTATGTCCTGACATGTCGGAGAGGAGGATATTTTCTCCGAGTTGGTGCAAACAATAAAACAATGCCGCCTTTTTAACTTGCAATATTTCAGGATTTTAAAATGATGCCATCTCATTTTTTGACATTGAGGTTTTGGGATACATTAAGAATGTGCACTCTTGAGGCAAAACTGCAGATCGGAAGATGTATAGACTACAGTTCTTTTGTTACGTGTCTCCTGGGCTCCGGAGTTGAATCGCCTTAACCCAAGATGGATCGGTGTGGAAAGAATCCCGACGGCTTCGTAATTTGAGAAGAACACTAATTACTGTACGACCGTCACGCATTATCTTTGAAGTTTTAGTTCAGCGGTGCGTTAATGCGTGGCGAACATGGGCCTTTGGTTTCAGTACATAGGAACGATTACTATGCGCGGAGAATATGAACCCCCGTGGTTTTCAATATAGGAATGATTATCATTCGCAGAGAACACGGTCGTATGGTTTAGATACTACAGGTGATAACCAAACTTTATTAACTACTTGGAGAACATGGATCCCAATTACCAAGTTAGAGCTAGCGGAGAACAAACCTCCCATTGTTCAGGTACATGAGGGTAATTACCGTACGTTAATGCCTGAGAACATTGGCCCTATGATTTAAATCCATATGATCAATTACCAACACGTCAATCCTAGAACGTGACTCCCAATGTTTAGATGTATAGGGTGATTAGACTCCTTGTGTTAATGAGCAAAGAGCGTGTGCCCCATGGTGAAGATACAAGTGGGATGCTAACCTTGTGGTATGTTGTTGAAATGAAAGTCTTTCCCTGAACTGATGTGCTACGGATATTCGTTAATATCGTTTGTGTTTTATAGTACTCGCTAGTAGTGATTGGTGTATCCCCCTTTATCACCCTCTGAGGGATTCTAAGGCAGAGGTTGGCAGGGTCAAAGTCGTGCCCATTGACCTCATACGTGTTGCTTAATATGGCGCTTGGACAGGCGACAGTAGTATTAGTGGGCATTATCATATTAAGGTTATGAGTTGTGTTAGACAGAACAAAGACGTTCACTTAAATAATAAAACTCTTGCTTTCCATGTAAAGACGGGCGACAACAAATATTTTGAGAAAAGCATTGGACCTTGTTTGCCAGTTACTACATGTTTGTTTTATTCCGGGGTGTGCGAGGTAGTTACATTCTGTAAGTGTTTGTACTTGCCAAATTGTATATTCTGTAGTGGTTTTGGGGAGAGATGGATACTTGGTGTCTAGTGTATGGTAAATATTTCAAATGTCAGTAAAGCAACAAGAAGCAATCTGAAAATTGGCAGGTCGTGGGTCGCTGTAGTTCCCTGGGGTTGTCTGCCCTTCTAATCGCCCTAATTGGTGGTACCAACTGCCAGCCATCTCCTTGTCCAACTCAACCATTCACTTCCACTCCATGGTCCTGTAGTGTAGACAGTGATGGGGCATTCTCGGCAACTTTTATGATACCGATATTGTTTACAGTGAGTTACATAGAGGGGGGAAGTGGAGAGTGTTGGAGTTACGGGGATGGAGTGGATAGTGTTGGAGTTACGGGGATGGAGTGGAGAGTGTTGGGGTTACGGGGATGGAGTGGATAGTGTCGGAGTTACGGGGATGGAGTGTATAGTGTTGGAGTTACAGGGATGGAGTGGAGAGTGTTGGAGTTACGGGGATGGAGTGGAGAGTGTTGGAGTTGGATGGCGTGGAGAGTGTTGGAGTTACGGGGATGGAGTGGAGAGTGTTGGAGTTACGGGGATGGAGTGGAGAGTGTCGGAGTTACAGGGATGGAGTGGAGAGTGTCGGAGTTACAGGGATGGAGTGGATAGTGTCGGAGTTACAGGGATGGAGTGGAGAGTGTCGGAGTTACAGGGATGGAGTGGAGAGTGTCGGAGTTACAGGGATGGAGTGGATAGTGTCGGAGTTACAGGGATGGAGTGGAGAGTGTCGGAGTTACAGGGATGGAGTGGAGAGTGTCGGAGTTACAGGGATGGAGTGGATAGTGTCGGAGTTACGGGGATGGAGTGGAGAGTGTCGGAGTTACAGGGATGGAGTGGAGAGTGTCGGAGTTACGGGGATGGAGTGGAGAGTGTCGGAGCTACAGGGAGGGAGTGGAGAGTGTCGGAGTTACAGGGAGGGGGTGAGTGGATAGCTATGGTCATTTGAGGCTCGGCAGCTTATCTACACGTACGGTACATAAATCAACCTTATAATGAGTCTTTATAATTTACCAATGATAATGCTTAACCAAATGTAGGTGATTTAGGGTTTTTAAATAGTCTTATGTTATTGCCTTCTGCAGTCTGTTTAAAGAGATGTAAGGGATTAGGCGATTAAAT